GTCAATCCAATTACATCCTCACTGACACATGGAGAGTAGCAAAGTCTCTTGATTAAAGGCAGAGGAAAACTGTTGTGTTGGTTGTGTTCTAAGTGTAGAGTACTACTCCACTTTGCGCATTCCCATATTGCCTGAAAATGCCATTCGACAATTACAAGTATAATAGGCTCTTTCACTCACGGAAAAATATCGCAGTTACGGAAGTAGGCTGGGCCAGCTAAGAAAGTCAACCATTCATATGGCAATCAAACTAGCATTAACAGGATAGGCGAACGCATAGGTATCACGGGCGTCGTTTTGAGTGGTGGACGAGGGTCGAGGGAGCTCAAAATCCACCGGTACCTGACACTAAAATGCCCCCCGTAAGGTCGTGGTCCAAAATGTTAGAGCAAGATACATGCTTCCAATTCGGCGAACCGTTCCGAGATAAATCCCAAGCATCAGCGACAAATAAAGCATTGTCTGGAGTGCGGGCATTTGTAAATCTAAGAATGACTCGTGGGCGGTAAACAGCAGGTTATTATTGCCCCATTGAGTTCCTAGTGGAACATAGGGCTTCAACTGCACATCTCCACTTGCTTCTGTCCTCTGCTGTACTTTTCACCTGCATCCATGTTAGTCCATACTCTTTCAACTCCTCTTCACACGATCTCCTCCATGTCACCCTTGCACTGACGTCCCACTCGCCGTTTCACTCTAGGGCTTGATGCGCGATCTCACCCAGCGGCCTCCTCAGCGAGTGACCGATCCATCTCCACTTTCTCCTGCATATTTGTTGGTTGGCGATTGGTTCTTGTTTTGTTTGTTCCCATAGTTCCTTGTTGATGATTCTTTCCGACCCGGCGATCTGATCTTCAGTATACAGCGAAGATAGTTGTTGATGAAGGTCAGTAACAGGCTATTGGGAATATTATTTCTGACTCACCCGCCAAGTTTCTTATCCGTATAGAAGAACTGACTGACTTGACGTTTGTATTGAAAATCAGACCGAAGTTTGTTGTTGATGCTGGCTGAGTGACGAAGATTTCCAGATTGGTTTCAGGTTGATGAATGTGTTTCTCGCCTTCCCGATTGTCGATTTGACATCCTCGTTCGTTCCTCCTCCTGTAGTTGAGACAATGCTCCCTAGATAAGTGAATGAAGTAACCTCTTTCAAATCCCTCCCGTTGATGGTGATTGACGCTGGATGTTGCTGCTGCTTTGTTGGTTGGTTATTTTCATAACCTCCGTCTTGTCTATGTTCACTTGGAGTCCCGTATTTGCCGGCTGCTTCTTCGACCAGTTTGTCGGTTTTCGCTTGTAAGTCTTCGATTTTGTGGTGACATCAAACATAAATCATCCACACGCGAAATCCAGGTCTTCTAGGTTCTTCACGTCGGTCCAGGATATTCCTGTCTTCTCGTTTCCCACAGTCTGACGCATAATCCAGTCCACCACAATTAGGAATATCATTGGTGATAATAAGCACCCTTGTCTGACTCCTGTGTTTACTCCAAACGCCTCGCTGAGTCTTCCGTTGTGGATCACTTGACATGTGCCGTTGTCGTACAGCTGTTGAATAAGGTTGATGAATATTTGGGGTACGCCATAGTACTCGAGTAATTTCCAAATTACTTCACGGTCAACGCTGTCGAAGGCCTTCTCAAAGTCTATAAAGTTGAGGTAGAGGTTTGATTGCCATTCCATGCTTTGTTCTGTGATGATGCGTAGAGTTGCAATTTGGTCAGTACATGATTTGCCTTTCCTGAATCCAGCTTGTTCTGGTCGGAGTTCTGTCTCCAGTGCGTCCTTTAATCTCTCCAGGATGATGCGACTCAGGATTTTACTTGGCGTCGACAGGAGCATGATTCCTCGCCAGTTCTTGCAGAGTCCTAAGTCGCCCTTCTTTGGTAGTTTCACGAGGTAACCTTTCCTCCAGTCAGTAGGCACCTTTCCCTCCTTCCAGACCTTTTGCAATAATGGAGTCAGCATGTCTGCTGTAGTCTCTGGGTCCGCTTTCAGTGCTTCAGGGGGTATTCCATCTGGTCCGGCTGTTTTCCAGCTTTCAGAAGCTTGATTGCGTTCAAGACTTCAGCTCTCGTTGGAGGATTGGTGTCAACTTGCAGTTGTGTCGTGCTGTTGTTGGTATTTCTGGACGGGTTGCAGGTGATGGTCGGTTCAAGAGTCCTTTGAAGTGATCCGCCCATTGTTTAATCTGTTTTTCTTCCTTGGTAATTGGGTTCCCTTGGCTGTCTTTTATAGGTTTCGCTTGTGTTGATCTCTTCCCGGATAGAGATTTGGTTATCTGATATAGTGTCCTCAGGTCCCTTTTGCCTGCTGCCTTCTCAGCTTCAGTGGCCAGGTTGTCGTAGAATCGTCTTTTGTCCTTCCTAGCACTCTTCTTCACTTCTTTGTCCAGTGCTGTGTAAGTTGAGCTCATCGTCTCCTTCTCCTGTCCGTCCTTGCATTGAATCATTTTCTCTTTCACCATTCTCCTCTCTTCTATTAATTTCCAAGTGTCCGTTGAGAGCCATTCCTTGTCTTGTCTCTTCTTTCTTCCTAGAACCGTTGAACACGTTTCGTTGAGAATCGCCTTCAGAGACTTCCAATGTTCTTCCACGCATGATTCTTCAGTGCTGTCGCGTAGTGTTTCCTGCTTTGCTCTGACAGTTGCAGTGAAGGTGTCTTTTGTGGTTGTGTCCTTCAGTAATTGAGTGTTGAACTTGCATTGTGGCCTATCCCCAGCTATCCTCGAGGCTTTTAGTTTCACCTTGAAAGTCCCTTGTACTAGATAGTGGTCTGAACCCACATCTGCTCCTCTCCTTGACCTTGTGTCCAGTAGGCTCCGTCTCCACTTTCTTGAAATTGAGATGAAGTCTATTTGGTTCTTGGTGTTTCCATCTGGTGAAATCCATGTCGTCTTGTGTATATCCTTGTGTTTGAACACACTACCGCCAATCACCAAATCATTGAAGGCGCAGAAGTCTGAGAAGAGTTCACCATTGTCGTTCATTTCGCCGAGGGCCTCACGACCCATGGTGAGTTCTCTTCCTGTGTTGTCTCGTCCCAGCTTCGCATTCATGTCGCCCATCAGGATTTTGATATCGCCATTTGGGACGTTGTCCATTATTGCTTGTAGTTGTCTGTAGAACGCCTCCTTCTTCTCTTGTTCTGAGACGTTTGTAGGCGCATAACATTGAATGACTGTAACTTTCCTTCCTTTTGAGTTGAACCTGGCTGTCATTATCCTGGAGGAGATTGGTTCCCACTGCATGAGAGCTTTGGTTGCTGTTGGTGACATCATGATGGCCACTCCCTCGGTGTGCTCATGGTTGTCCTCTAGGTGGCCGGAATAGATTACTGTCTCTCCAGTAGGTAGTTGGCACCTTCCAGTTCCGTTCCATCTGCTTTCGCAGATTCCCAACACTTCTATTCTGTACCTTCTCATTTCAGCGGCTATCTGGGCAGCCTTTCCAGTTTCGTACATTGTACGAACATTCCAGGTACCCATCCTTACTTTTGCTTTCATCGAAAGAAGGCACATCGGCTGACTGGCTTCCCGAAGGCTTTCACCAGCCTGCGTCATTTCACTTCCCGATTCCAGCAAAAAATAAGGCTATTGTTTATGTTTTTAGAATTTTTAATATATTTATTCGTTGAAGTTTCTGTAGCGATTTGGTTGTTTTACAGGGGTGGAGTTGCTAGCACCACCCTTCCAACCCTCTCTCTTTCCCCGGGCTTGGGACCGGCTAGAAAACTAGAAAGCTAGTGGCCCGGAAAGCTAGTAATCTGGCGAGGTTATGAGTGAGAATATTGGATTCACATCTTCCTCGATCAGTAAATATATTGCGTATTTGCGTTCATAGCGGTACATACGGCTTCAAGCTAGAGGCTTGGAATTTTTGGTAGCAGTGGTGTTTATTATACGGGATGAGGTTGCTAGCTTCATACCCAACCTTCCCTCTTTGCTTAGTGAAGTAAAGGAATGCGTCAGCCGGGGATCGAACCCCGGACGACATGCGTGGTTGACGAATATTCTAACACTGTGCCACCGATGCACCATTTCTTATTCTTTTACGTTCTCTCTGCATATTTACTAGTGGTGGATTGTTAGTTAATTTTTTCTTCAACTCTTGAAAGTCTGTTTTCATGGACTTGCCTCATCATGTTCTATTCGGTGGTAGTAAACATTTTAACATTCCAGACGATTGTGAATAGAAAAGCCTAATGCTCGAAGGAGCGAACTGACACCTGCAAAAATACTGCTCGTGTTCACGGCAAGTAGCTGATGAATAATACCGTATCATTAGGCCGAGAAAACTTCTGAGTTTAGAGGAGAATGTGTAACGACAGTAGACAAGGGCTGGACAACAAATCGGTTCCTTTATTTTGTCTTCACATTCAACATTCTTCTTCAAGAGTAGGCCTGAAAATCAGCTCCCTGATGGCGGGTGGGAATTCTGTGCAATATTTAGTCATGTCAGTTCTTTGTGACACAAATTAGGCCTTTAAGTCTCACAAGGTTCTAATCAGATAAGCGTTTTTCCTGATATTCTCAGTGCCTTGCCGTGATTTCTGAAATGCCTGGATCTTATTCACCCTGCTGACGTAAAGTTGCAGGGAGAAGAAAGATGATTGGGTTAATCACACACTCATTAAGACATACAAATTTTTGATGGCCAAGAACAGTTTGGCGGAATGTCTTACCTTCAAATGGAGTGAAGTAGTTCAACTAATCAGCAAAGAGCTGCAGTAGTGCCAATGAATTACCACAGGCTCCATATTACGCTTGAAAATATAACCATCTGCCAAATTTCAGAACTACCGTAGTAACGTTAGGCAAATGAAGGGACTGAGCAAGCAGAAGCCCACTGAAGATTTGCGATAGTAAACTAATCGCCGAGAAGAGACCGAAAGTAAAGTCAATTTGATTTATACTAACTCTTATAGAGAATATAAGATATTGGAACTTTGTTTGAATCTGTTACGCCGACGCAATAGTTTAATTTCCACGGTTTCAAGTTATGAACAGTGATGGGACTCCTCAGAAGCTTATAACAGACAAGGAAGTATGGTTCTTATATTTCAGGGATAAACAAAAAAATATTTGATGAGGCATTTTTCTCTGTTTCACTGAGATTTTTTATTATTAACCTTATCTATAGCAATGACTTAAGGAGTTCTGCATGCATGAGGCCTGGATGGTTCCACAACTTTTTGTCCCGAAATTCTAAATTTTGACTAAGGATTCTACCAACTGAGTAACTTCGGAAATCTAAGAAGTCAGGAGAACCTATCTTTACTCTTCCAGTGGACAATTGCTACAGTCTTTGTACACTTTATTTCATTTTTCTAACTTCACTACTTTTCTTTCCCTTCCCTCGTTTCAAGGCACTTCAGTATTCTAATAGTCTGCCTAAAAATTTTTTTGGTGGATTAAATCTGTCGCTATTATTATACGATGTATAAATATTTAACCGAATTACTTAAGAAAGAGATAGAAATGACTTGTTTTCTTATGAGATTCATTGGCATCAAACTCAGCTGAATGAAGTATCTTGTCAACTTATATAATTTCATGTTGAGAGGTCAAACATATTCTATTTTCTTGGTCTGGAAAACGTTATTCTATTCATTAGAATAAAAACCCTCGTCCGCATTGTTAATAGATAGCTTCACATTCAGGAATCATGTATGCCATAATCGTTGAGGTTGATCAGCTGATTTAGGTAGTGATTTATTCACTGTCTTTAGATTACTTTTGGTAATATAGAGATTTTGCATGCGACTGTGCATTTATCCATTAACACCACACTGCATATTTGCCCTAAGTGCTGTTAACTTAGAAATTTTTTAGCTTGTAAAGGTAGACGTGTATCACTGAATGTCTGGTTTGTAGGGCGTTTTTCGTCATTTTATTAATTACAGAGACCAGAAAAACCAGCGTTTCATGTGGAGTTTGACAGCTATTATTAGTGATATGCTATCAGTTATTCAGGCTGTTTAATGTAGATTCTACAGTGGTCTGTGTTTTAATGTAGATCTGGTGGGACTACAATAAAATAAGCATATATATATATATATATATATATATATATATATATATATATATATATATATAAAGTCATTCATAGAGCCGCCTTCACGGTCCTTTAAAATATATGTTAGTGCAAATTTAAAGAATTATTAGTGGTCTCTTAGTTAGTTTATTTGGGTGAATGACAACTTTATCTGTACATCCAAAGGCGTTAAGAATTCCATCTATATATTTGAGAAACATTGTTTAGGATGAATCCATCACTATTATGGTTTAATTTCTCCAGTTTTAAGGCTCTTTTTCTATCATCAATTTACATACCTCTAGGTCAGGAATTGCAGATAAAGTTATCAGATTTGCCATCTGGTTCCTTATCCAATTTCCGTTTAATTGCAGTTATATATTTTGCTTAGACATGGATCCGTTAGGCAGAGTTTAGTGAGACTACTTATTTATTAAGAGTAGTTTAAAACGCTTACTCGTTTTTGATGCTTTTTCTATACATTTCTGTTTCCGCTTCTTGGGTGGACAGAATTTCCTGGCCAGTGGAACTATATGTCTTTACCCCTTGAAAACACAACTTTATTTTGAAAAGCCATGTTGAGATTTTTAAAGGATATAGACGCAAAACATTGTTTACTTCATGTGATCAATATTAAAAATTGCATAGGTAGGCGAAGTTTGTTCGAAAACAAAAGTTTCTGACTCGCGGGATTTTAGGCTGCCGTGTAAGTTTGTGGGAATTATTACAGAACATCTACCTCGTATATAAAACGAGGTGACGCTATAAATTACAGAAAGACGTTAAAATGAAGAAGTTATGAAGACACGACCAACCAACTTCGAGTCAGCATACGGTTTAAGTTGAAACACAGTGCTAAATCCGTGGAAACAAGCAGCGGAAAACAATAAAGTTACTTAAAATTTCCTTAGCAGTAACAGCCTTATCGGTCAGAACATGTGATTGTTCGAGGCACAATAAAGCAGCTTCTAAAATATGTCTGCTCAATATTCTGTAGACATTTATTCTGATAAACGAGTAGATTTGTCTTTCCACTCGTGAAATACTTTTTCATTACAGAAGTAAACAATCTATTTAACAGCACACAGTTTAAGCTGAAATGAAAATAAATGAAATTTCAGAGTAGAAGGGGAGAATTTTCTACACTTAAGATTAAAAATAGGATGCATTTCACATATTTTTGGGGAAAACGTTAGAAATAATGATGCCATTCCTTTGATGACAACCTCAGATAATGAGTCTGCTCTCATAAAACACCTTAAAATTGGACAAAAAATGTTTAACTCGAGTTTTACTATATTCCGAGTAAATAGCAAAATTAAAGACATCTCAGCGAAGAATATTCTCTTTATCGACGAAATCATATTCAGAGGCCATACAGTTGTATTTATCTTTACCAAAAACGTATAGTACTCCGTCATTTTTTAATAGAAGGGCAACATGACTGATATATGTACTTGGAAGTGGCTTCAGAAGTAAAATTAAAAATTAAAAGTTGAATTATACTAAACGGTAAAAAGGAAGAAAGGGTTAGAAATTTGATGAGGTTAAAATTGTTTTTTGGTGGGAAGAAAGTTAGTTGAATGTCCATTTAACATGCGTGAAGAAGGTGAGAAAATGTAGAAGAGGAACATGTGAGAGTGATAATAGTAAAGTAATTATTAAAAACAAAAGTAAACTAATGGTCAGAAAATAAAAAATTACAGGGAACGACTAATGAATAGGTTACGACCAGGGTAGAATAAGAGACTAGAAAAACTTTCTCTATCTACAGAGTTGAGGTTTGCGTTGACTAATCACCAGCACCTCGTCCATACACAAATGCTGAGACCTAAAACTCTTTCTATCATTCGGTCTAACCTTATAGATACTTCTGAAAGACGACTCTAATGGGGCTGCATGGTCTGAGTTCAACAAATGCTCAAGAATTCAGCTAGTAATTGTTTTGCATTGTCTTCTTCCTGACTTTGCTGGATAATGTCCAGAGAGGCATTTAGAAAGTGTGTGCTGTGTGCGGCCAATATAACTAGTTCTGCAGGAGCAGGTGAATTTACATGCATAGTGAAGTCGTTCAAAGCGGCAATTTATCCTCCACACATAAGCTGATTCTTTGCCGACGGTAGAAATTAATCCATAGTTCAGCCAAAAAGAAAACTTTTCTCAGCAATCTAGATAAGCGGTTCTATAGAATCGCAGACGCTGTATCACCTTTAAATGAACGCTCATTAAAAACAGTTTCTTCAGAACTGTTTGGCTTCATTCAGGCTTTTTTCGAGAAATCTTGAAAGATATTCATTTTCCATTAGGACTTGTCCAAGTTTCTCCAGTTCATCAACGATTGTATCAGTAGTGAATATATTTCTTATTTTTGAAGGTAAGGACTGAATCAGATTTCTCCTTCTTCTCGAAGGGTGCAGCATAAAATAAATAACTTTTGGTAATCATTTCAGAAGCATGCAAAATACAGTGTAGAAATATTGTTACCCACATTAGATTATCTTGAATATTTTTAAGATTAAACTTAACAAAATAGCAATATCCGAGACACACATTACTCTCTCAATTTCTTTGAGATATTTTTGATAACTTCGGGGTAACTTGCTTTAAGAAAAAATTAATCCCAGAACAGACACACAAAACTGTTTTACATAGAGTGAATATGCAGATATACTTGGCGTTAAAATTCTGAAGGTAGACTTTATTATTTCTAGTAAATTAACTTCAGAGAACCATAAATTTACTGCTTTTAGCTGAACAGTTCACAAGCTGCCAGATGATAAGTTACAAGTACTCCATGATGCAACTCTGAACCTCCCTTTATGGCATAGTTCCACCTTCGGGCGATGTATAAGTATGGGAACTGCTCGAAATAAAAAATAAGGCTATGGTCATTAATTTGAGTGAAAAGACACATCTTGTCTTTTCACGCCAGAATTCAGTTACAGGGAAGACTTGTCTGAATTAAATCTCATTACTTTTGAAAAGAATCTACAGTTCTAAAGGACATACTCTCCTTCAGAAATTTATAACCACATCTGTCAGTCACAGCTAGGTTAATAATGAGGGCTATTAGCATCCATTATCTATTGGAAAAGCACATCTCTAGTGATGTTTTCAGCATTTGATCCTTAAGTCTTTCGAGCTGAAGTATTTCCGAGGTGGAGTTAAGCTATTTAATAAAGACTCAGAAGCTGGCAGTTAGGAGATTAAATCAAAAACAGTAAATATGTAGCATTTAATAGGTTGAAACAGTTGACAGTAGTGTAGTGAAAGATTAGAGCAGTTAATTATCTAGTAGATCATAGAGATGTGTTTTATGTTCAGTCAGATTACTCAAATGCTAGACCTTCATTCTCATCCCTGAGGATTTCATTACAGAAAACTTTGAAAAATTATACTACCTGTCATTTTTCACATGGTTTTGCGCAAGTAAAATTTATATTAGGCAGTCCAGTGAAGCACAGAAATACGACAAGTCAATGCTAAGAGATTAATGGTATATCTCTATTGGAAATATATAAACCACTGTATTTTCTCACCGAAGTCATTTTCATAACGCATGATTCACTTGTTTTTGCTAATGTAAATTTTTGGGTTTTTTTAATGGAAAGTGCTGTCTGTGTTTTTAGAATACAAAAATTAACATGGATTCTACTCAATCTTTAGATGAAGAGGCAGTTGGATTTATCAATATACCTGGAAGAGGGAAACTGCAAACACAAATTTTTGAAGTACCACTTATTACATTATTTGAATTTGGTTTTTAGACAAGGACTCGTGTTCACTGCTACTTTGATCCAGATGAAGCTACATGGTTAAGATTGCCCATTGCGTGGGAACTTAACTCTCCCGTTGTTATGTACCTCATCAATTTAGTTAAGGTGAATGTCTTCAATAATTAATTTAATGTACTGTTTGACTGCATTGAAAAAAGGAGGTTCAAACTAATTTTTTCTGGAAAATAATATTTAAACATTTGACTACAATATCAGGTTAAATAATTTTTTGGCTCTATGGTTTCCTAGGGTAACAGTATTCACGGTGTGTTTTCTGCAATAACTGCTTGGGTATTCAAGTAAGTACGGTGTCACTGTTTCGTATAGGTGTTGACTTGAAGAGTTATGCAAATTTCAGCAAATATATGTGATTGTTATTCAGAGCGAATAGGATCCAGTCATCTCTTACTGGTCTCATCAAAATCTTTACTAAAGTGTTTCACACACCTTTCATTGGTTTCACAAATTATAGTGTCATCCTTCTCAATTCTTTCATATTTTGTTGATAAGATGCTCGTAATCGTATTGATGCAAATTGAAACCTGGGAAAATAGGTCCACGATATGAATAGGGTTATTTTTATTTCTACCCACTGGAGTGTCATGTTGAAGTTTTCTGTCAAAATGACAAATTGTTAGATACCAACAATTCTAGTTTATAGCTTGTCAAATCGGATTATACAAAAGAAAATACCAAAAGTAATGATATAGGAGCTCTACATTCTTAGCTTGAGTGCGCTGGGAAACAAAAGTCTTTAGATTGTAAACAAATGGTTTAAATGCTCAGAATCTGGTGATCTAAGGTTCGACTGGAGTACATAGTCAAGGAAGACCACATCCAGGGTTAAGAAGACCTCCATTTTTCCTTGGCCATGAATTCTTTTCCAGCTGATGTGGACAGTCGATGGAAACTATTCCAGGTGAATTTATTACTCTTAGTTCGTCCTACTAAATAATAATTTCTCCAACAATAAATATCTCCAGTTGATATCATTGAATACCTGCGAAAAATATTTCGACATCTAACTCGTGTACTTAGTTCATATTGTTGTCAACATTACCTTTTAGGCGAACATGCATGGAAAAGAAGCGATTTTTGGATTACCTTTAATCCAATTAGGTTTGGCTGAATATTATGTATATATACATACCAAGACTTTAACAGAGATAAGATCACTAGAAATAATAAAACCAGTTTGATGAATGATACAATGAAACTGCCGAACAGTTGCGCTTGCCACTGTAAAAGCAGTGTCAAAATTCCTAGGCTTCAGTTATAGTATCATGTGGACTGATATTGATTACACTGATACTGAAACATCTGAAAGCTCCTGAACTGGTGAGCAGTGTATTGAAGAGAAAATCCATAATGAGATAGAAAATGGTGTTAAAAGGTTAACGGAAACCATGCGTGGTGATTGAAATTGAAATCAAAAATTATTCTTGGTAGGATTCGAACCAACTAACAGATCAGTAGTCCAGTGTTCTATCATTCGTGGTACTGGACTGTACTACGATAACCAAGCGGTTTTCATCAGTGTTCAAAACTACTTTACACAGTAAAAATATGCAAGTGTAACTGGAACCCATAAAAATAAGACAGTGGAGAAAAGATATATATATATATGTGCCATCAAAGTAGGGATTTATCCCTACTGATGTCTCAGTGGTTTTTTCTTGAAGTCTTTAATCAAAATTGCAGGACACCACATAGGAAATCTGCAGCCTCCTTCAACTCTCAAATCAACAAGAAGTACCGTATGAATGCTCTAAGTTCACTACAATGAAATGAAACGAACTTTTGGCGTAGATGTTTTCAGAGATGTCCATCATTTCAAGTTGCCAAACTTCATAAAGCCCACGTAAAGATACAAAAACTATAATAAAGGGAAATGAATGTGTACAAAAAGGGTTAAATAAAGAACAATAGATAGCAGGGCATGAACCCATTAGCACCACTGAGAACGATTTTGGGTCATGCCACTAAAAGTCTACTGCCATTGGTTGGTAGCATTCGGAACACCTCGGCTGAACAAACTACACATCGATAACTGACTCAAACCAAAGGAAAGAGACCTTATAGACTGCCTCGGTTTGTTCACCCGTAACTCTTTTAATCTAATCCGATGTCAGCTGACTTTGCTAAACGTGTAGGGTGACAGCTTGGTTATGCGTAACACAAGTCATAGCCATCTCAGTCGATATAGCTTCACAAACCCATCAATTAGATTTTGTTCTTTGCCTGACAAACTACTCCCAGTTTCAATATTACTAACTGCATTATACTACCTATCACGAGAAACAGAAAGCAAGCACTTGGGTTAATGACTGTTAGTCTCTTCAAATCCTCTACTTTCAAAAGAGATTACTGTCGGCCATAAAGAAGGACGGAGTAGACTACTGCATCATTCGTGCCACCTCTTAAAAATAGATAGCGTGATGTCATGTCCAGGCCAAAGATGTTGCGGTCTGGCAAGTGGTACACGCATCTTTTCTATCTGAGCTGAGATTCCATCAGAAGTCAGTCTATTAGAGCGGATAAAACTTCCAATATTATATTTATGTTAGAACTAAATTTAAGTAGGAACATTTGGCATCTGAGACGGATGGAATAATCAGTTAATAGGCTCATAATTTTCTAATTCCTGTTCAGTATTTACCTTTCAGCATAAGAAGCGCGTTGCCGGAACTGAATAATTTGTATTCACAATGATATTATGTAATATTTTCTTCAAAATAAGAAATTAGCACGCGACAAGAAAAATGATGCTACTTTGTATACTTTGTCTGTATAAATTCAGAGAACCTAACTGGTTCCATTTGCAGAGATGCGGAAATCAATCATAAAATTATGAATAACAAAATCGACTATCAGCACCCATTGTATTATTAAACCATTTAAATACAATGGGATAATTGTTTCTAATTTCCGGTTTAATTTTAATCATGTGTATTCAAATAGTCAGGCACCATGCTGGATGACGTCAGCAACAAAATGTTGTAATAAATGTATTTCTGTGTAATTCACTAATCTGTCAGTCAACTACATCATTATTTCTATTACTGAAAGGATGTCTGTCCCACTTGGAGAGATGACGCTGATATCCTTGCAGCCTTACGCGTGAGCAATTACAATGTTGATGATTGCGTAAACATTTATCACAGTACTATTGGCAAAAGTGTTTCATCAGCTGGAGAAGAAAGTAATACCAATCTGACAAACTCTGCTTGTAAAGTTGGGAATTCGGATTTCGTACAGAGTGGAACACAGAAAATTTATGACCATAATTATTATGAGTTAGTAAAGGAAGTCGAAATTCTCGTAAGTATATATTCGAGAGATATAAACATTTTGTAAATATATTGGTTATGCACTGCCAAGGTTGTGTACAAACAGTTTCCATGACTTTAAACTTAAAACTATGACTTTTTAGTGTTCTCAATATTCACTTTAGAAATGCTACCAAAAAGTGACTCATTTTATAAGAATTTACTTGATACAGCAATGCAACGCTAGTGAATTTTCAGATGGTATTTGTGGATCTACTGTTTTATGCTGTGTATTGACTAGACACCATTAAGCTGAATGAAATCGAAATAATTGGAGGTTTTAAGCGGTCATCTAAAACTAATTGAAGTGGAATTCGTAAGTGACATCCCTATTCAACGACCAAGAATTTTGTTACACGAAACAAGCTGCTTCATGTTTAATCTTTTAATACTAATACGGAAATAACACCTCCTTTTAATTTTCAACAGTTAATTTGCAGATATTTGATTAATTACAAGTTACATTATGGATTGATATCAGATTGAGAACCACTGATAACCGTGTAGTACTAGGCATCTCTTTCGTCCTAGTTTGGAAAGCCTAGTGATCTGAAGTTTTTGGGATTGATCCCTAGTGGGGTCATAGGTGCAAACTAATGAAGAATGCCGATTTGTTACGGAACGGGTGTCCGATATTCTCTGGTTTTCAATGGTTCTCTAAGTGATGTCAGTCCATGATCTAGCTTGAAGCCTCCTTTTTAATTTATAAGTTAACAGCATATGTTACTGGACAAAATTCACAGTAGTTAAACGATATTTATGGAAAGCGAATAACTAGTGGATAAAAAATGAAACAAACATGATTTGGCTATTGCAATTCTATGAGATGACTGAGGGAATTCTTACCATTAGTGAAATAGCCGCAGATCTAATGTTAGATGAGAACAAACTTTCATCCAAGAAAATCCTTGTTTATTTAAATGATCTACCTATATGTCAAGAGAATCAACTTCTCGACAGTCTTAATTAGCTGTTTAAACAAAATGATTCATCTAATGCATGAAATCTATGACTTTGATGGTAGCATTGGTCATAAATTTACTGTGAGTGTTGTGTGAAACTACTGTATATTTCGTTTAGCCAACAAACTCAAAATTTGAAGCAAAGAGGATTGACCATAGCAATATGTGACCTCTTTAACATTTTTCCTTTACTAATTATTTTTGTCCTTGTGGACTTGTGGAGTGATCCTCTTTTTTTTCAGAAGAAGCAAATTCATAAGATTTCCACTGAATTGCAGCATGAGAAGAAAGCTCATGAAAGGTTGAAGGTAACTATTCGTTATTTATTTATTTCATATTTCAGTATATGAGAACTGTTTTCACATGTTTTTCATTTACACTGCACAAACGTAGTTTGTATTTAGTATTTATACATATATCAGATTAAGGCATGAGAGAACTTCGAAGGTTTCAAGGAAAACTTAGTATGATAACATAAAATCAACTGAAAACTTTGCAACCAGTGTTCAGGAAGCGTTCTTCAGTTAACCAGCGTAAAGTATTAGGTTAAATAACTTACTAGCTTCATCACTTCATTTACTTGAAATATCTAATCCACCCTGGTTAGTTTGTAACTTCTGGAATCTCGCTGTATGCTTGGCTTTTGTCGAGTTCTGGCTGTTAGGATACGTGTGAAATATCACATATCCCACAACAGTCCTAGTTTATCTCACAGGACTGCCTTTTGTCCTACCACATGTTTACCCATTGCTAAGTTAGGGAAAGTCAGACTAGACGGGAAGAAACAAAAGTTTGTCAAACTAAGACAAAGAAATAGTCTCTAAAATCACTGACTGTCCATCTGGAGCATACTTAGAAGTAGTCTGGCTTGGAGACATCCGGGCAAAATCTTGAATCTATGATTTGAGTCTCTGGATACATATCAATTATATAGCTGAGAAACTGTCTCAGTGGTGCTACTTTACCCTAGACTCAATATTCTCTATTTCTGTCTGTTATTTATCACTGGTTGTCCTCTTATATCCTGGCTAGGAAACATTACATTATCGGTGAGGGGAAATATCCACTTCATTCCTTGCTGAAGGTGATCAGCCTAATGGTGCTGCACCTCCTCCATTTAATTTTTCTCCCTTTTCGCATGACATATTCTTCTGAAGCGAATTTCATTAGTTTTGCTGGCTATCCCTAATCCTTTGGTTTCTGTATTAGATTGTTGTCATATAAATAGTTTATTATTGAACCCATTTGAATATTAGACTGGTAATTTCAAATTCAGATGTGAGTAACGCTTGTGTATACTGCCTCAAATAGGTGATTTTTGTGGGTAGTCTGACACCCTGTTCCTTTCAAAAACTAATTCATCTGACCTACTAAATAAGGGAGCTGAGACTTTCTGGTATAACCTAGTCCCTTTCTTCACAGCTTATTAATCCTTGTACTTTATCCACTTCTTTTTACTACTGCTTCTTATTCTTTCCTAGGATCCTCAAAAGCAAACTATCTTATATTACGTAAAATTCTCAAAGTTACTTATGACCCTAATAACTGTCTGACACGGAACACCTTATTTACTCAAAACTTTCTCCCACTATTTCTCAAGAAAAAAAACTAGGAATGATTTCACTGGAATTTATGCTCTTCTGATAAGATATAGAAATTTAATCTTATCCTGTTTAGCAAGTGTGCTGTTTGAAATGATGAACGTCACTACAGAAACGAAAAACCTACCTTATAGTCTTTAAACGCCTACTTATTTCTAGCGATCACTCAGTACATTATTATTACCGACATTAATATTTCTATTAAAGTAAACTTTTGTGGTTAGGAAGTTTATTTATATTTGCATAGTGAGAAAAGTATTGCAATATATAAATGCTGAAAATCTCACTCGGTATAAAAATGGTTGTTTGGAATAAAGTGATTGTCGTTGTTATTATTATGACTTATGCTTGAATGGTTTTCATCCATTTAGATTCATTCTTATTTTGCAGATATGAAGTGTGGTAAAATGAACTATCATTCAGTATACTGATAGCGTCTTCCTGATATATATATATATGTTGCTGATGGTTTAAAAATATTCTGATTTGAATAATTCCATCAACAGTTGAAAAAGAAATCATGGATGTTCGAGTACATTTAGTTTATTTATTTTATCCTCACGATATCCGAAAAATTAGTGGTTTATGTTTTGTAGGGAGATGAATTTCACTAGGCAGTATAAAAAGTTTGAGTTATCAATTTATTTATTTTTTTAAGTCACTGATGAACTTTTGATTGATTCGGACTTTTTTTTCCTGTGAACATCGTGTTTAGTATTTTTTTCTTCTATGAACGTCACGTTATTTTAGGAGTATGTTGACTGGTAAGGCAATGTGGTCCCATAAAAGCCACACACTATATCTAATGATTTAAACACCTTTTACAATATCACAGCCTTCTGAAAAGTCGACATCTATCCTGTATCTATTTGGTAATGAAATATCACCTGCCATTTAATCAGCTCTGAAGTACAAATTATTGTTAAACTTGTTTATATGCCTTACCCACATAACGAAAGAAACTACTTTAGTCCGTATAATGATTAATTCGTAAGGTCAGAGTCTTGTCAAATGATATCTACAGTAAGATGGGCAGGAACTTGTGTGAATAAGAATTAGTGGCATTATTATATTTTACTTTTCTGATAAATTTTAAAATGTATTTAATCAATCGTTGACTTTTGTCAACTTATGACATAAACTAACCAATAGCGGCATAAGTTGTAATACAGTTTTCTCTATATGTCCTCAATAAAAGTTTAGGCTACTGATAATGGTAAATAGACAGCTACTGACGAAGAAGGATACACAGCAAAAGTACAGAAAAATTTGTTTGAATTTCCTAGACACGCTGGGATTATTTTATATAATTTCATAATAATACATTCGATTCTAAGGAGCTATTTGTTTTTACATGTATCAAGTCACAACTCCTATTGCATATCTAGCCAAAATGTTTGTATACTTTTGTTATTTATGGAGGGCTTTGAGCACTGAGGACGTGTTGTCTCAAATTCAGTCATAATACAAAAGAAATGTCAGGCGACTTCATCCTATACAGAACACCTACGCTGCTATATGAGTAATCCATAGCCAATTAAAACGAAGCACAGTTCAAACAACAGTTTAACCTAAAACATCAAAATTCGACATATAATATTTCAAACAGCGCAAGTATTATTATTATGGTTAAAACACAAACTTGGCGCATTATGGGCACCTAGATATGAGCCACACAAAATATCTTATGAACGCATAGTCAGATCGAAGAGGAAGAGACCGAGGTCGCTTATGCGGGTGCGTCAGAGGCACAATGGTTAGGACTCTCGCCGACCATACAAATGGTCCGGGTTTCGATCCCCTGCTGACGCACACCTGATATCTATGGTCGGCCTGCAAAGTTTCGGCTACCGATATCACATGCTGAAAATTCCACAACTGTACCATAAAATGCGGTGTGGAATCAAGCTGTAATCAAAAATAAAAAAAAATAAAAAAGTGATACACTAATCTGGTATCAAACATCTGAATAAAGCATAAATTATTCGGTTGAAAAATACTGTCCACTTTCATAAGTCCTTTCATTCCGTCATTTACTTGTCGATTACTTCTGTCATTGAAGTAAATAATGATAAAACAAAAAAAACTTTGGAAAAATAACAAAAGGGTTTATTATCTCATTTTTGAACTGATTTTATGTCTATCAAACTATTATTTCACTAAGAAATACTGCATAGTCAAGAAAAATAGTGCCTAAGCTCAACGCAGTAATTTTAAATGTGTTTCAGAAAAGACTTTTAACAGCACTATGCATTGTTGACAGTTAATAAAGGAAACCTGTGATTTCGGCTTCCTGTTTATTCATACATGTACATGACAGACAGGTAAAAAGTTATTGTTAACTAAGATATTCATCTTAGCTATTTACATTACAAGTATCCTGTTCCTTAACAGAATCTTCATATTTCCTGAATATTATTTATTATAACACTAATTTTATTTATTAATAAAGCCTTACAATTTTACTAATAGTTGTTCATTCAGTCTCAGAAAAGTGACAAACAATCAAATAGCTTTAAATTTCAAGGACTTTCAGGAGAAATTCACAGCTCATTTATTAGAACTAAAGAAATTTGTCAAGATGTCAAAGATATTCTGCATGGATCAAAACATATTTTGGAAGACTTTACTAATACGGTGAGTTTCATTATTTTCTGGTCAAGGAAACCGTAATTTAATTAAAACCTTTGGTGGTATCATACGCGTATAGAAAAGTGTTATGGCTGTCAGATTTTTTAAATTTCAATTCATAAGCACAGTATCTGCTCATAATGATGCATATTTTTTTATTTCAACCTGTACAGAATTCGATTTCTAGCTATTTGCTTTACTGAAAGTTAAACACAGAAAAGGCGTTAACACAGGGAAGAAATGAGGTCTTGGTATAAATGCTTAGAATGTTAACACAAAATTCTCCAAACAATAGGCTTCTATTAACTTGTAAACGTTCTATCTTTTCGAGTGAAATTCAGCAGAGAAAAATTCATTTATTAATCATTTTCACAACCCATAGTACACCTAGTGCGTAATACTAAATTACCTTTATGTGTGCAGTCTGATTACAATTCACTCATCGAATAACTTACCTCATCACGTAGCTCCACCATTGATTTACAACTTTTTTATGTACCGATTACTGTTAACAACTCTGATTATGACAGTTCAGCTGCCTTGTCACTATCCTCTTTTTTGAAAAATTCGTATATAAATTCAAATGAACAACTAAAACAAATGAAACCGTTGAAAGGCGCCCCTTCACTTAAATGCTTATTTTGTTTCCCCACGCACATATTTACGAAATATCTAGTCTCTTTCTATGGTCTGTTTTTCTAAATTTTAATTAAACAGTCTCTACTACCATGCACAATGTGAATTTTCCCTAATATTATAAAACTAACCGAATATTTGTAACTTTGAGACGGACATTTATACTTAGTAAGATACTTTTATATCAACAGTTGAAACAGCTTCCCGTGAAAGGTTAAAAATCTCACAGTGATTATATCCAGTGAAATTTTAAAGGTTGTAAATCTTGACGCTAAAACCATAATGCCAAGTACAGATGTGGCATATGTTGAAATTTCAATATGAATTAAGTTAAAGCAACATAACTTTCAACTTTATTTCTTACTAAATGATATGCATCATTTTTCTTATAAGCTCATATCACTGTTTTGAATAAGGTTATTACTACTTATATGCATTTCAATTGATAGTGCTATGGAGTTGCTCGGAATAAAAATTACTTTTTGGTTTAATTACATCTCGAATGAAGGTAGATTTTGGCTGCCTTTTATTGAGAACAACTGACCTATAGCTGCGAATAACTTACTAATTATCTTAGATCAGAAAATTCTCATCTTAAAAGGCAAAAACTACTGCCCTTTTCACTACTTTAAATTATCAGAAGTCACTGTATAATCACTGTTCTCAGTTTGTTGCCTATTTTATTACCTTCAAAATTTTGTTTCCCTCTAGTCATTATTCACTTATACGCTCTGAAGAAAACTAAACAAATCTATATTAGAGCTTTGAGGTCACGCGTTAGTCAACCAAAGAATTAAAAAAGTCATTCTCATAGTATTCAAAACGAAACCGATTCTTCATGCTATTATGTATCGGAGAGTAAGAGAGGGATTTAGAAGTTGTAGAAAGGAGTTATACTTCGTTAAAATGACTGCATTAAAACATCTTTTTTCATCCTCTACTTAGAATGTGTTTCAACTATACTTGTCTTCACCTTACAACAGGGATTTTTAAGAAATATCGCAAATGTTTATTTAACCATTGACAAACGTGCTAAAAGATACCACAAAGTCTACTGAAAAGAAATATTCAGTCGAATAAGCTGGTCCTAGTTTCGAAGAATTATAAGATTTAAGAGTGAAATATTCCCGTATCACGAATTAAAAGTCCGTCAGAACAAAGAATAATCGTCTCAATAGATTCTTTTCACTAAGAGGTATAAAGTAAAAATATTTGTTATCATTATAGTAATGACCAGTCATGTGGTAGTTATACTTTTACGTAGAATAACATATTAGTTATAGGGGGACAAAACAAATAGTATTTGTGTGACAAAAGTGGTGAACTAAATTGTTATGTTGCTGCTGCTGAGTGGTTAATAGTAGTTTTCCCCGTCGCCAAATTGTTATGTACTCGTCGCTAAATTATTATTATGTACTGGTCGAGAATTTAATAGTCCTGACGCAAGAGAGACGGAAATCAGGAGACCACTAGGTTTGCGATGATACTTCTATTTTCCACACACAAGGAGAAGCAATCAGTGGTATTACACCAAGTAAGTAAGTAAGTGTAAGTCACAAGATTGTGAGGGCGAAATATATATGACCATCCAGACAAGTGTGTGAACAAATCAATAGACAGTCTTAACATGGATGGCTAATTATAACGAAGTATCGATCCATATATACATAGCGAAATATAGCAGACGTGTCAACAACCCCACATAATATGGATATATGTCACCAAGCAACGGACTGTCAACAAACACTCATATTATATATAATATAAAGGGAATATACATTTTTAAAGGAGACAGGTTCATCAAAGTGAAATGGTCACAGACTAAGCGAGCAAACAGAAAGAGAGATCACCATAGACATATATATATATATGTGGATGCATATCATAAATGCAATTAAGAAATATTTCATACTGCATAAATATGTAACAAATATTCAGTTTCTTTTTAGTAGTGAAACGTACAGACAGGTTGATGGTATAGCTAAATAATATCTTTTAGGCACTACACTTGCGAAACTATAAAATGGTACGTTGAAAGATTAAATAGCGAAAATGGAAGTGTGTTGCTGTGACCTAAATGACGCTTTTTCTGTCTATGGTAAATGTCTACTTGGTGATTAGATTGGAAGCCACTTCAACATGGTAGTCCATTTAACTTACGAAGGGGAGTAAAATGACTCTTCATACTTCGTCGGCGTTTCACTATCGAAGAGAGAAGGTGGGCCAATTAAAATAATCATATTAATAAAACTACAGACAGAGGCCGAACATACATGCTTCCTTAACTTTGTACCAATGAAAAACAGGCGTAATTCAGTCAGATGCTTAACTACCAGTAATTCCATGTCATCCGGTATATTCTAAGAGAAAGGGGTATCCAAATAAATTTATGATAGCGAAAACAGCTTACAGCATTCGCTAATATAAAGTGCCGACAGTTGAGAGATAGCCATTACTTTTACGTTCAAATTCAAGGCAAGTAATTCTAATGAGATTCTATCTTGACGCTCAGACAGAGAGGGATTTCCACCCTCGACATTTCTTCCTTTCCTTCAGCAGCCCTCCAATGTCCACTGCGAAAGTGAGAAATGTTTTATCCAGTTTTTACATATATACCATTTTAACTTTTCCTGTCGTTTAAGTTTAAGTTATATAGAAAGTATGACTAGCTATGTTCATTTATGGATCCCAGAACATTTACAAGACTGATTCAGAAGTGGTGAAATCAAATGCATAAAAAGTCCAATTCCATCAAACTTAGTAGATACATCATACTGACACTAACATAGCCAGATGGTACCTAAGTAGAACACCTTCAAACATTGTTCCTGCCATGACCAAACCTAGATTAGATATTTTCCTGTCCAAATGTTTCTTTTACTCTTATTTTCCTTCTTTTCGGCTTTAACAGACAATTTAATTAGCAATGCTTGATGATTTACCCTTGATTCTAGAATTCTTCAAATTATGTCGAATATTTTTATTTATATGTATATACACAAAGTATTCTGAATTATTATAAGTGATATTATCTCTTTTCTCGGTATACGACTCCACCTCATTTACTTGACATATTTATTATTTCATGATGAACATTCCGCTGTAGTCGTGCTCCGCTCTTCAGTTCATAATATCCTGTACTAGCCATTCACTGAGCACGTTTCACAACCTTCAACTAACTGGTTAGTTTTATTTCCTCACATAGTATTTATCCATTATGGCTAATTACCATTTCACATTCCATAATATTTAGTATTGCATTCAGTTCAGCCCTTTTGTCACATTAGTACTGTTTGTTCTGTCGCCTTACAAATAATCTGTTACTCTACGTAAAAATGCATCCACCACATAACTGGCTCTTATTATAATAGTAACAAATATTTTATGACTGTAAGTAACTGAAGAGCATCTATTAAAAAGAATATTCTTTGTTCCGACCGATTTTTAATTGAAGGTTTTACTAGAAAAGCAATCTAACATTGGAAGCCCAAAGCAGAAATAAACAAAATTACACTGTCCATTATAATAAAGGTTTTTGTATTTCCCAATGAATGAAAAAACAAAACGATATTGTTTTTACTGACATTTCGCTATTTAATGCTAATAGCTTTTTCAAAGTATTATTAAACCGGAATTTACAAAATCTCAGCTGATATAAAACAAGGATTTAAGGGGTGAGAAAATAGACTTTGGTCAAGTTAAAAGGACATATTGAATGTCAAAATAACAATGAAGATCACTAAACTAAATAACAAAGATTTTATAGTGCGAAATATTCCCATATTATGAATTAAAAGTCAATCTGATTGACTTTTAATTCATAAATAACAAAGGTAATAGTATATCTGTTATGATATCAAAACAAAGTTTACTAACTTGATCATGGTTCGTTAATCTGGGGTCATTTTTCGTTGTCAAGTTGGTCAATTGGTAAAGATAACAAAATCAAGTGTAGATTGTTGGATTTGATCAATGTGGAAAATTATAAAAGCAGTGTGTGTTTACATAGTGAACTTCCTTATCATATTTGTGTTGATTTTGTCACTTCATGGGGGAGAGGAGGGAGGTGTTGTAACCAGGTCAGATTCTGTTTTAGTCCATCATTCTTATTCAGACAATTTGGATTCTACTTGATATGAAGTGCTTTTGATATTAGACGTACTTTGTGATTTCCGAAGTTCTTATAGATTATTTCAATATTGTCAAAATCAATTTTGTGGCCTGATTCTATAGTGTGTAGACCTATGGCTGGTGATTTTTCAAGCTTTGTAGTTCAACTGGATTTCTCGGTGGTCGCAGAGATGCTCTACAGTGTTCATTTCTTCTGATTTTGATTTCTCGAGATGTTTGTGCGATGTAGATCGCATTACATTCCAAGCATTTCATTTTATAGACACAATTAGATAGAGAATCTTTCGGGATTTGGTCTTTTATATGGACAAGGTTGCTTTGAAGTGTGTCTGATGTTTTGAAGAAGACTCTAATGTCGAGCTGATTGAGTACTCTTCTGATATCTTCTGAAGTCTCTGCTCTATATGGAATGACGACTGTTGAGGTCCATGTTTTCGGAATGCGTTTTCGGCCATACTTAATGTCTATGTTGATTTTGCTGACGAAGTTCTTCGGGTAATTGTTTTGCTTGAGAGTTTCAGCAATGTTTGATATTTCTTTTTCTTGCTCATCTGTTATCAAAGAGTGTGCTAGTCTAAGAAGACTCGGAACAACTGAAATCTTTGCGGAGTGATGGTGGGGTGTGATGATTTGAAGTCTAAATATTTATTGGAGTGGGTTTTCTTCCTGAATATGGATATACTAAAATGTCCGTTTTCCTTTCTCGTAACTAGGCAGTCTAGAAATGGTAGTTCACTGGCGTCTGATTCTGCTTCCGAAGTGAACTGGATTTTTGGAGATACACAGTTTATTTTCTCCAGGAATGAATTGTGTAGAACTCGTTTTAGTACTACAAAAGTATTATCCACATATCTTAACCATATTTTAGGAGTGAGTATGCTTGAAAAGATATTATTTTTGAATTTATTCATGAAAAGGTCAGCGACTATTGGTTCGCTGTTATTCACAATCTAGTTAAATAAAGAGATGCTAAGCACATGCATTTACTGAATGAATTGATCGTTTGGACTTTTTGAATATTTTCTTCGTTTTCTTCAAATGACTGTGAGTTACATCAAGAAAAAGACTCCAATACAAAAGTTTTGTCCAAAGATATTTTGCCACTGCTGTTATATTTTGTCTTCAGGTGTCATCTTTTTTTCTGATTACAGTAAACGTAATTTGTTAATACTTATGACTTTAAGCGCCTTACACAGTATTTCTTCCATTTATAACTAACCAAAATGCTGTCTTCGTTTAGCTATGCCCTCTACTTAGAAAAACCAAACGGTTGTACACAGAACAAAATGAAAGACTCAAAGAAACTAAAGCTGTCTATCGATTAGAGTCACAACAGCGTCGCCTAATATATAACAGATTGATTGAAATACGCGGTAATATTCGAGTATTTTGTCGTATACGTCCTTCAAATTGTATAAACAGCTCACACAGTTGGTTAAAGTGTAATGACAATGGCGAATTATTTGCTTGCTTACCTAATGCTTCAAGACGTAAATACAAATTCGATAATGTTTTCCACGCAAATGCTAGTCAGACAGACGTAAGTTTTTAGTTTGTGTTTCTAAATTTTTTTGTACTACGAGTTCTAAAGAAATATTTCTTCCAGTATATAATACGTTTGGTGAGATATTTCTTCGTCGCAAAACATTAATTGTGAAAATGATGATTAGACACACTGTCACCATTAAATTACTCATTCTGATAATTTTTCATATACTGCAGTTTTAGTGATCAAGTATTTGCATGTTGGTGCTTTTGGGAAGTGATTAGCATTCAGGAAATAAGGTCAGTGGACAATTATTCCTGAATCTTAAATGTAATACATTTAAGTAAGGCTTGAGTGAAATAAAGGTTCATACCGTCTTGACAGACTTGATAAAAGCTAGTAGTTTTTCCTCACTATAGACCGTATGTTATCTATTTCGTGTAAACGTAGTCATATTGTAACAACAAAAGACAAGGACCAGGCAACAGATCTTTTATTAAGGAAATCAACACATATTTATATATTTTCATGTACATTATTATAGATTATTGTAAGTAAACAAACACAGTTTTCTGATTGGTGGTTTCTCGCTGAACGTTAATCTTTCATCTCTTTGTGGCCGTTTCTTAAAGTTCAGATTATCTATCTGCAAATTGCATCCGCCTACGCAAAGTTTGCTGTGGTTGGTTGTTGAATCTGTCCCTGTTCTTATTTTTCTCACGACCAATATTGGGGACGCAAACATTGATGTAAATTACTGTCTACCAATTCGGCTAGCAGTCAGCTCTCACCATAATATGTTTATTCTGATGAATCTGCTACAAACTATTCTGCAATGTTCCACAATTCTGCAACTTGACAACGTAACGCCAGTATAAAACTTTACACCGCTGAACGTACTACTGCAATGAATCCTAGTTGATAATCATATGTCGCACTGAACTGATTGAATCTGTAAGAACAATCAACGATGGAGTACACATCGAAGCCTTTCTAAAATATCTGTCAGCTAAATGAACAGCTGAAGGATGAATATAGTTAAATGTATGTTTTCTGAAAAGTTGTTAACTTTAGAGTGGAAAGTAAAGAATTGGGAATGATCCTCGCCAAATGGGAAATTTTATTGATGAACAGTTATATTTAACTGACTGAAAAAAGGCTTTGGGATCACCCCAGACACCTTATATCAACAAGAACACAGTCATATTTAGATAGCCCATTTCTGTCAACCAGCACTAAATTTAAAGATAAGGAGCTATACTGTTCGGGATAACCCGTTTATGTCTGCATTTCTTCTTAGAAAATGTCTTTTAAATTCACCTATGCTTTCGTTCATCCACATGTGTATTGATGAACTTGGATTGATGTAGAGAACAAGCAATATGTAAAACCTAATGTACCTGTCCTACAGATGAAAGCAATAAGTTTGTATTGTAAATGAAGGCTTGAAAAATATATGAATCGAAATTACTCACTGTACAGAAACAAATACGAAGGATACCCAATAATTTCTCAAAACAGATAGCCAGAAGGTCGATTAAAAAAGTTTCGAGGGCATTTAAACTGGTCTTCAGCTACGCTTATTTACTGTCAACCATAATGGGTCTGTGATTTCTGCCCTCACCATATTCGTGGCTGAAAAGACTGTTAATGTCAGAAATCATGCTAAGCGAAAGTATCCACAGACTTGACTGCAAAAGCACATAAGGAAGGCAATGAGAAAGTTTTCACCAGATTTACTGAAAAATTAGCATCCTTTAGCTGTGATGTATGATGTACTCATGATAAAAACTGTATAAATCTAAGCTGTCGTTGAATAGTGGAAGACGTATGGGGTGCAGTGTTCCCCTATTAAGTGTAAAAACTGGAGCAAGATTGATCCGGAAAGACCCGTAGCTGTACACTAAGGAGTTCAATAGAAACGTACAAACTGCTTATCTGACTAGAGGGATTGTACTGTACCACATAAATTGGTCAGTGATGAATTCTTTCCAGGGATAAAAGGTTTGTCTCCGACATTTATTGAATCTAATGACCTTTGAATTCAGTAAGAGAAATGATTATCTACTGTGCTGTAGTATGTTTTATTTTATCTTGTGGTTGATAATAGCGAGTTATGAGGATTAGAATAAAGTTTGGGGGTAAATCACAATTTTTTAAATACCCTTTGAATGTTATAAAACCACGGAATGAAGACGTTTTACATGAGACGCTGAATACTATATAATAAAGATGAGCTGACTGATAGAACTGCACTTTTTCACTGACTTCAGTGAAAGGAACATGAGGGAGACATACCAAATCATAGCATTCTTAACTGAATTTGGATGACATAATAATGGTAGAAAGGTTAGGTTAAGATGTTACTCTAAATCGGAAAAGACTGTTATTGTTGACTTGATGCATAATGAACTTCTGTGAAGCATTCTGCTCTGACCTCTCAGTCTCTCTACCTGAAATCGGCCTTCCGTGGATTATGTTTTCAACCACAGGTAAATAATAGGTTCATTTATAAGATGGTTCCACAGTCACATTTTGTTGATTATTTCGCTAGAATGTGTGAAAGAAAATGTCTCATTAAATATGACTTTCAATTAGCTACTAGGAAAGGCGAAAAATGAGAAAATACACTGTAAACGCTGATCTTTGCACAGTGGATCTCTTAGTTTTCAAACACTAATTCTATGAGTTCAATGTTTACTTCAATAGCCTGTCATAACATTTCAATAGTACTAACGATATCAATTATAACGCCAACGATAGCATTTTTATGTTAACTATCTTTATTTGTTTGGGTTGCAGGTTTTTAAAGAAATACGAGATATTATTGCTTCATCAATAGATGGATATAATGTGTGTATAATGGCGTATGGCCAGACAGGAAGTGGTAAAACTTACACAATGGAAGGCCATCCCAATGATCCTGGAATATATATTCTGTAGGTCCCATAGTCTAAATTACTGCTAACATTCAACTTTTTCTGCTTTTCGTTCGTTGATAACATCTATGCGACTATAATTAAAATCGATAAATTCTTTAAGTAAACCACTGAAGACTTATGTTGCAATATTTTATTTCAGATCTATACGTGAGCTACTGCGACTAGCGAAGGAACGTCGGAAGACAGATTTCCAACTCTCTGTAAGCACTAATTTCAAATATTGAACAGTTTTCCTTGAATAAAGAAGAATAGCTTGTATGATTCCTTTTTTCTTACTATTTCAATATACATGTCCTTTGTATGAATAATTTGTTTCTAGTAATCGCCTGTTTGTTAATTAATTGTCAAGGCGCATCAGGAATTTGTATTTTCTAAAAGAAATTTTGTTATGCTTAGATTATGATTAATTGCAGTGTATATTTTATCATGAGCCAACATCACTTAGAGATAATTGGAAACCTAATAGGACTAGACAGCTGTTTCATCCCTTCATTGGAATCTTCATCAGCACACACCCACATCCTCATCAGGGATGCGACCTAGGACTTTCAGGTTACGAGGAGAAGCTAGCTAGCTGTTTATTGGGATACTGTACTGAAATGTTGTGATTAGTGGGGTTCACCAGGTCAAGATGAAGTGTATGCTCATCGAAGGCATTGGCTGAGAGTGGCACTACATCATTAACTGACAAGGTTAGTATCCACGGGTTGCTGAACCCCATCTCAAATGGCTGAGTGGTCAACCAGCTTGGTCTCGTAATCTGAAGTTCGACTCCTAGTGAAGAGCCGTAAAATGGGACAAAATATATGTCCAGTGCTGCCTGGTTCTCAATGACCTTTCTAACTCATGTTGGTTCATGACGAGATCTGTATTGAAATCTTATTATAGGCTTATTTTATTGGTTAACTAATTTCAGTGCTTTTGAAACCGGTAATCACTTTGAATCCATAGATTTGGACAAAATGGAAACCATAAATGTGTGTTTGACATAGTCAGTTTTCCCTCAGCTTTTGTTCACATTTGATGTATTTATTTAGTACCCTTTCTTGATGAACTTGATATTTACTGATATGTACATGATAATTTGTACCGGGACATAGTAGTGCTAGGTCCTAAGCCTTTTATCTGCTAGTTTGTTCTACACATTTTTTTTCTCCTATTTTTATCATATACTATTCAAATGAATGATTAATTTTTAAGTTTGTGTTTCCATTTCAACTAGGTCCAAATGATAATTGCAGAATGCACCATTTTCAGGACAAATGTATACTTTCTGTTTGACAGAATATGGAATAACTGACGTCAATCAAATTTGCTGACACCCATCTAGTAATTCAGAAATTATGGATTCTTTTTTATTAGTAAATTAAATCTTCATCTAAAGAACCCATGGGGGAAATAGTCTATTAACTTAGAATATGTTTAAAATTTTATTTGTCTTTTTGCATTCTCTGTGATGACTAGTTAGGCTTCACAGTTTTGAGCTTAACTCTAGGCCTCATGATCTTAACCAAATCTATGATTACTACACTTTAGATGTATTTCTATCAGTGTTTCCACTCCTAATCCTACTGATCGTTTTATTGATTTTACGTTCGGACGTCTGACTGTATAATTTCTCTTTAGTTTTTGATTAGACTGATCTGCCCCAACATAACTTTTAACTACAGATTGACGTGGAATTCAGGCTTCCAATAATTACCTGGACTTGTTTTTGTAGTCACCATCCAAAATTTATATATTTTCCTAATCGACTTCATATTCCTAATCATCCATGTGGATTGATATAAGTAATAAAATAGGGTGATAATATTGATTCCTACGTGGTGTTTATTCCGAATGACTTCACAGTATTGGTAGATTTACTTCAGAAATCTTTTCCAAAAATAATTTTTAGTAGCTTCGGAGATTGGTTTTGTGGTGGTTGACTGACTTGAGAAATGATAACGTGTCGTAGTAGCCCGTGTGCCAGGAATTATTGTCTTTATGAGATATTGCATGGAGGATTTAATCATGAGCTGACATCAGTTAGAGAACCACTGGAAAACCTGGGAGTACTGGACAGCTGTTTCGTCCTAGTTTGGGACTCTTCATCAGTACGCGCCCACCGGGATTCGAACCCAGGACCTTCTGGTTACAAGGCGAGCTCGTAGACCATTGAGCCACTGGGACCCGATCCAATGGTCCTTGAATTCTAACTTCTGCCAATTCAGTGGGAAGCCGTGACCAGTAGGGTACAGCAGGTTAAAGATGAGGCAGTAACTCATCGAAGAAGACATTGCAAAGTGGTAGCGCTATGTCGTGAATTGGCAGAAGTTAGAATTCAAGGACCATTGGATCGGGTCCCAGTGGCTCAATGGTCTACGAGTTCGCCTTGTAACCAGAAGGTCCTGGGTTCGAATCCCGGTGGGCGCGTACTGATGAAGAGTCCCAAACTAGGACGAAACAGCTGTCCAGTACTCCCAGGTTTTCCAGTGGTTCTCTAACTGATGTCAGCTCATGATTAAATCCTCCATGCAATCAAACAAAATCCCTACAAAACCAATACTTGAAAATTTATGAGGTATGTTGCTTCCTTATTTTTAAAATACTGAGTATATTTCCTGCTACATAAGACTTTCCGAAAATACCCATTGAGTTATGAAAAAAGTGAAAGACAATTCAGTGAAGAAAACTTTCTTAACCAACGAAATCATCTTCAGAGGCTGCACAGTCGTATTTATATTTACCGAAAATGTATAGTATTCTACGTTACATCCCACTATCGATAGTCTCTATATGTGCCAAAGATACATGGATGATATTTTCATCATATGTGACGAGAATACCAACATCGAAATGATAACTAAGGAGTTCAAAAGCTACCATCATGCCATCTAGTTCACGTCAGAATCACAGGTGAACTCGAAATATCATTTTTTGGATGATTTTATAAAAAGGAGATCTGATGGTTCTACAGGAAACTAACATGGAATGGTCAATACACGAAATTTTATAGTTTAGTGCCTTTCAGAAGAAATAGAAACCTGATTGACTTCTTATCCTCAAGAATAAGAAGGATATGTTTGAGGGATATAATCGATGGCGAACTGGAGTGACTCACACAAGTCCTCATGGAAAATGGATATCCTTCGAGATTCATCGAGAAAAACCTGAAGTTAAAGCGAAAGCCTAAAACAACTCACACGGCACCGAAGAAACTGCTATTTATGAATGTTGAATTTAAAGGTGATACCGCTACTGAGATCCATAAGAATTGCTTATGCAGGTTACTGAGAAGAGCCTTCTTTGCGACTGAGCCACGGATCGATTTCTACAGCCAACAAATAAACAGTGGGTGTGTAAAGGATAAACTGACACTTTAGTCCACCTCATTGCATGTTGATAAATTCACCTGTTTGTGTGGAGCTGGTTATACTGTTCACGCAAAGGGCATAATTTCCGAATGTATCTCTGAACTTTATCTGTCATGGTTAGCAAAAGGACAATGCAAGACAGCTACTAGCTCGATTCTCGAGCACTTGGTGAATTCAAGCAACTTAGCTGCCCTAGAGTCGTCTTTCAAGATTATCTACAAGGTGAGGCTAAGTGGTACAAAGGACGTCAGGTTTCGGCATTTGTGTGTGGCGGAGTCGTCAATACAACCCCAAACTCTGTATGCAGAAACATCTTGTCCAGTCCGTTATTCTACCTTGGTCTTAGCCTCATCACTAGTCGTTGCCTGTTAAAAATTTTACTTTTAATTTCTAGCTTTACTATTAGTTTCCTTTTAATTTAATAATAAATTCACTATTATCACTCTCACATGTTCCTTTTCTATCTTTTCTCACTCTATTCACACTTGTTAAATTGACACTCAACTAACTTCATTCTCACCCAGTAACGATTTTTAACCTTATCAAATTTCTGACCACTCCTTTTTTTGTAGCACTGAGTACTATGTGATTCACAACTTTTGTTTTTACTTCTAAGACACTTCTGAGTAGTTGTATCAATTATGTCAGCCCCTATTACTCGACAATAGACTACTACACATTTTCGGTAAACAGAAATACGACTGTACATCCTGTGAAGATGATTTCGTCGATAAAGAATGTTTTCTTCACTGAATGGTCTTTTATTTTCATTATAAAACTTGGCTACACTGAGCTTTCTTGTTTTTGTCATGAAATGATAGGTTATCCCTTCCATATACAACCTGATGGACAGAAATGTATGACTAACTTTGTCTATTTTATTCATAAATCAAACATATTCAGTGAATTACGTGAGACCAATAATCACAATGTGTACCTACCTCATGGTTAATCCTAATTTTACAAGTTGAATGCCTTTTTCAGCCTCAGACAGTCTCACATTCCAAATGAAAAAGAAATCTGATTTGCTACTTAATTTTCAGAGTTTTCATAATATGAATAAAACACTTAGAATAAAATATAATACATTGTGATACATAATTAGTTTTGTTCTAAAAATGTTGAATAATACGGTGTTTAAAAGGTTAATTGTACTCATTGAGGCGAAACTCTCGTGGGTATTTAATAAAATCTTCTTAATCTTTCACAAACTTTAAAAATAAAAAAGAGCATCTTAACGAAGGCATTCTATGTTGCTTGATGTAATTTATTATTATTAATAATCATATAAGTGTACTTAAATTTTTTATCTGTATGATTTGTATTAAATGAAATTCTGTCAGCTTTACTGATTTTCATTTTCGCATCATCAGATAAGCATATTGGAGATTTACAATGAGAATATTGTTGACCTGCTTAACACAAATGGTATGTGCGATACAGTTGAAATTCGTCATAATGGATCACTGGTCAATATACTTGGAGCAACATGGATGCGTGTATCAAATGAAAATGATATGCATACAGCTATTTCATTAGGACAAAAAGGTCGACATGTGGCGTCAACTAAACTCAACACAAACAGGTTTGTAATTGTCCACAGAATATGTCAAATGTTCCAGTTTGATTCTGATTGAATATGCATTGTACGCAGTATATTTTTATAATATATCTCTAAATATGTCATTCAAAATTCTTAAATTTCAATATTCAAATAAAATATGAACCAGTGACTTTCATAATTATCTTCCGATATTTATCTTTTTTTTAAACTGGCACTTAGAGTATTTATCATTCTGAGTAGACTAGTATATAAAATGAAGAACCGTATCGAACTGTGTTTCTATCTGTTAGTATATCATGATATTTTTTTTAACTGAATTGAACATAAATTACCGAAATGATTCATTTCTTAAGAGCATGAAGATATTTTCATAGAAATTTCATAATAATGACACTATGATAGAGAAATGGCCTTTTGATGGATACATGCGTAAACGGTGATACACAGTAAAAAAAAATTATATTCAAGCAGACATTACTATTATTTCCTTTAATTCCTATAGGAAAATAGAGCTTCAGACTCATTTCGCCATTGCGTTCGGTTTTCACCTGGCTCCACGTATACCCACATCCTCCCATAGCCTCTTCTCATCACATACTCTTCCCTATCCACGTCACCCTCATACTGACGACCAACTCGCCACTTCCCATTCGAGTTCCACTCGAACAATGGCCTGACGTGTAATGTCACTTGAGGCATTGTTTTCTCAGAGTATGACCAATCCAACTAACTCCATTTCTTCCTGCATATTTCTTGCACGATTGGTTCTCGCTGAGTCGGTTCGTTCATTTCCAGAGATCTGTGTTGCTGATCTTCTGTGGCCGGCCATCTGATCTTGAGTGGTAAAGTTAATCATCAGTGCATAAAAGTAGTTGAATAAGTGTATTACAGTTTCATAAAAAAAATGAATAATTCTATGATTGAGTTGTAATCAGGATGTATATAGAAACGAAGGAAAATCAAAAAAGGTTGCTACGGTGTTGGTAAAATAATTTTCTTATGTATGACTAAGGCTCCAGCAATACACAGGAGCCAGGTACATTGATCGTTCGTTGCGCATCATGTCTAAAAGGGTTCAAGAACACTGTCTTGCATGGTCGCAGAAAGGTAGTATTGGCTGTATAATGACTGTGCTAATCGAACACCTTGTTAATACTGGTCATTCCGTCTTCACAAACGCCTCGTTCAAAGCAATGTACAAAAGATAGAATGATCTGCAAAGGCGATACGTTTTCGTCTCCTTTACATTGCTGAAGCCTTAGCTATTCAGTTAGAAAAATTGGAGCTCTGTATACAAAAGAAAATGATTTTGAATAAAGCGAGAACAACAGTGGTTTGTGCAGAATAACATGGTACCATCATTTATTTCGTTGGCTTCTCATCAGCTGCTTACAGCCTGAATAAATTTTGAGGTTTAAGTATAGAAACGTTTTAACATACTTGCAAATTTTACATGTTGTCAGTTGACGGAAAGTTCCACAATTAGTAAACAGGGCTCAGAAAATTGCGCTTATATAGTTTTTACACAGGCAGTTCAAGTTAAAACAAAATAAATGTATGTATATAATGGTAAGGGAGTTACATAATAAAGATGAGATGTGCGTTAGATGCATAGTGACTAATAATTTAGTTAACAATGTACTGTTTATTATTATTATTGTATCCTTTAGTTCCTAGAGGAACATAGGGCTTCAGCTGCGCACCTCCATTGACTTCGGTTTTCTGACAACTTTTTCAACCTGCTCCAGGTCTGTCCACATGCTTTTTCGACTATTACGCTACATTTTGGTCATAAATAAAAACAATGTACTGAGTTGAACTCAAATCATAGAAACAAGAGACAAGCAAAATTACAGACTACAAAAGAAGGGTGAGGTTAAAGACAAAGATTACATAATCAGATGAGAGGGAAAAGACATCCAGTTACCAAGGCAAGGAAAGACTAATAACTGCTTCTTTCTGAACACATAAATCTGGTTTCAAGCGTTTGATAGAAATTGCTTCGGCAAACTTGAGGAAAATAGAGCACCTTTGTCTATTGATAATTTTGAAGGATTTCTCGATTTCCACCTCATGACCCATGTCGAGGAGATGTCTGGTAACAGCGCTACTATAAGAGTTCTACAATTACGGTAACAACCTTCTTGATTTCTACTGACTTGATTTTCTTTTTTTTCTAACTCTCTGTAACTCTTGTATTACTTCAGACTTTTGTGTAATTCCATATTTTCCTTCGTTTCTATATACATCCTGATTACAACTCAATCATAGAATTATTTGTTTTATTACGTAACTGTAATACACTTATTCAACTACTTTTATGCATTGATTAATGTTAACAATTATGTTTGTGACAATTCGTCACCTTTGTTACTATCCTTTCTCATGGCGAAATTGTATATAGGTAGGATTGTACAACTGAAGGAAATGAATTTTTTGAAAAGAGCCTCTTCACTGAGCTCCGTATTTTGTCTTCTTTAAGATTTATTACTATCATACTAAACTATTTAAAAGGATTTCCGTATTCATTCATGTTTATTCAGTGACGGTAACGATGATCACCTAATAAGAATAAAATTAAACTATTAGGAATAGTTTCAAATAAGAAGCGCAGTAGCATTTGTATTAAGTGAACAGTTTTTTGGTAAAGACGCAAACTACTGATTTGCCTTATTTTCAGTGTTTCCTCTAACTCAGTCCTAATGTTTAATTTGGCATCTCTTTATTGGTTTCTGTTTTTTAGTTCAAGATCTCATCTTATTGTTTCTGTTTCTGTAATCGGAACAAACAGAATTTCTGGAACTATTAGCCGTGGTCACTTAACACTATGTGATTTGGCTGGATCTGAAAGGGTTGAGAAATCAGAAGCAACCTCTGCTGAACGCTTTAATGAGGCAACGCATATAAATCTATCACTATCTGCATTAGCACAGGTAAATGCGCTTTTTTCCCGGCATTGTGATCTGTGATGTGTTCTACATATATGCATGCATGTGTGTCTGGTAACGCTCATAAAGATATAAGCATGAAAACTTACCAACAAAAGCATGTTTCATGGTTTGATAATGAAGTTTTTCACCCACAGAAGTGTAAGCTTATAAAATGTATTTCAGAAACCTCAAAGACACAAACTTTATCACCTGACACTGAAAATCCAAAGTAACCTGCTGGTATTACGATGCCTTTTTAGTTAATGAATTACTTCCATATATCAGATAGCCAGAACACAGATTGATAACGTTTTCCAAACAGTCAGCAATGTTATCATTTACAAAGGAATAAATAAATGATCTTAGAAAAATACATAAATAGTACTTGTAATTGGAAACAACGGGTTTATATACTTAATTTAAACATCCAAAAAATCATACTTAATGCATGAGCGAATCGTTGCCTTCTAATCAAGGGGTTGGTGAGCACCCTATTATTGAAAAACTGGCGCACTATACTTGTTCAATGACTGGTTAAATATTTCCGGAAGAGTTCACATAAGATCAAAACATGAGTATTAGAAACTAGAGTCCTCTTCTAAACATAGTAAACTGATGATCGTGAATAAATGCCAGTTCAGTTGTCAGTATTATAAATCGGAAGAGTTCAAATAATTACAATGTCGAATGTGTTTATTTTAATTCAGTTTTCGTCATATTGTGACAAATAATTTTTACAGCTGTCCAGTACTTCCAGGTATTCCAGTGGTTCTCTAACCGATATCAGCTCATGATGAAATTCTGTAACGAAACAAATAACTTTGTTTCATTCCAAGGACTAACTGAGATTGCTATTCAAGGTGAATTCACAATAATATTCATTCTTACCGGCTAACAGTAGTAGTATTAATTCTAATGTCACTAGTTTATTAGTACTTCTAGAAATTTGAATTTACTAACTGTTTAATCTGTTTTTCAATAAAGGTATTCATGGCTTTACGCAATAACCAACTGCACGTTCCCTATCGAAATGCTAAACTAACTCAGATGTTGCAACCTTGCTTAGGTGGAGATGCCAAGGTATGTGAAGTGTAATAATGAAGCGATTTCAGAGATAAATTTTTTTTCTCCGTAAGACAAAACGATGAGGAAAATAGTTTATTAACTTCACAACAAAATATGACTGCTACTGATTTTAGAGAATTTTCATTCAGCCTCATATTGAACTGTATTTAAAAGTAGTAAAGAAAGTATTTTTCAATTTGAGAGGAAACTTTCGGAAAGTATGTATTAATTGTCACATGGCGGTTTTTAATCTTCTTTCAGAGTACTGTTATGCAGGTTTCCACTGCAAAAGGAAACTCATTATGATGAAATTAACAAGGAATGAAAACTTTGTCTAGAAAATCACTAGCTCTCAGAAATATAGCTGGATCTGAATCAAGATTTAATAATTTGGCCCTATTTCAACAAAGGCATCTGCTTTTTTCTTCGTTGACATGATAAGGTTCTCTCAGGAAAACCAGTAGTTAACTTATGACCACCGAAACTAAACGCTTGAGAAACACGTAAAACTGTCGAGTTGTGAGGTATCAGCATCATTTTTCGTCAAAATCACATAGGAATAAAGTGCGTCGAGGATGTGGTCAGATTGAGTCACAGTTCCAATGTAGAATTCACTAACATACGGGAGGTAAAAGGCTTAAAATAAACAAGATTCAGGGAAAACAATCACCATCAGAATATCTACAAAGATTGGTTTAGAACGGTTACGAATAATAAACTATAAGGTGATCGTGATATTATTCCATTGGACGACTCAGGCTATTAGTATCATAAACAAATGCACTACTAACTAATAGTGAGTAAAACAAATTTAACACGTAAATTAGTGGTAGGAGAGGGATCAGTATCAAGAAAGGAGAGAATCACTGTTGTTTCCATAAATTTGGTGTGACTTTCCATGACCTTCCATCCAAAATAATTCGCTGTTAGCATTACTGCATCTAATAGTCGTAGATTTTTGTTTTCTGAGGAGGTAGCTTGGCGAAAAATGGCGCCACAGGCAAAACAGACATCAAAGCACTATATCAGATAACCAAGTCTCTATCCGGGAAGAGATCCACCCAGATGATGAAAGCAATAAAAGATTTTTAAAGGGACATGATCACCAAGGAGGAGAAACAAATCAAACAATGGATTGATCACTTTAAAGGATTCTTGAATCAACCACCACCGGCAACTCCATCACACACTGAAATGCCTGTGGGCACCACTGCTCCAACCAAGGAAGGAATCCTGAATGCAATCAAACTACTGAAGTCCGGTGGAGAAGTCAGCAGGAGCAGACGGCATTCCTCCCGAAGCACTGAAGATGGCCCGAGAGATAACAGCAGATTTTCTCACTCCATTGCTGAAAAAAGTTTGGAAAGAAGGAAAGGTGCCTACTGACTGGACAAAGGGCTACCTCGTCAAACTGCCAGAGAAGGGCGACTTAGGCCTGTGCAAGAATTGACTGGAGTGCAATAATCCTCTTGTCCAAGCAAAGTAAAACACTAAGTCGCATCATCCTGAAGAGAATAAAAGATACACTGGATGCAGAACTCCACCCAGAACAAGCTGGATTAAGGAAAGGCAAATCATGTGCTGATCAAAGTGCAACTCTACTCATCGTCATCGAACAAAGCATAGATGGGCTGCCAAACCTCTACTTCAGCTTCATCCACTTCCAGAAGGCCTTCAACAGCGGGGACTGACAAGTAATTTGGAAACTACTTCAATACCACGGCCTACCTCAAGTCTTCGTCAACCTCATCCAACAGCTATACAACAACTCCACGTGTTAAGTGATTCACAACGGGAAACTTAGCGAGGCTTTAGAAGTGCATACAGGAGTGAGACAAGGCTGGCCGTGTATTATCGGCTGATATTCTTAACTGTGGTGGAATAGACTATGCATCAGACTGTGAGTGGGAAGCGAGGAGACAGGAATACATTGGACCACCGATAAGAAGACTCCAGAAGATCTGGATTTCGCAGATGATATATGTCTAATGTCACTCGAAATAGAAGACTTGCAAGAGAAAATCAACTGGCAGAAGAGGCAGTTAGAGGAAACAAGACAGCAGGTTAACACAGAGAAGATGGGGGTGATGAAGATAACCAACGAACCGCAACAGCAACAAGAAGCAGCACCAATCACCATCAACGGGAGAGATTTAACAGAGGTTACCTCCTTCACTTATTTGGGAAGCATCATTTCAATTACAGACGGGATGGATGAAGATGTCAAAGCCAGTCAGAATCGCAAAGGTAAGATATACCTTCATCAACCTGAAAACAGTTTGAAAATCTTTTGCACTCCACCTGAACACGAAGAACAAGATTCGGATTTTCAAAACAAGTTTGAACTCAGTCTTTCTATACGGGTCAGAAACTTGGCGTCCGTGACACGAAAAGGATTTCCAACAGGTCTCAGACTTTCATCAACAGCTGCCTTTGCTGGCTCCATGCTGAAGATCAAATGGCTAGAAAGAATGAGCAACAAGAAACTATGGGAACAAACCATCAGGCGAGAGCCGATCGTTCAACAAATATGTAAGAGAAAATGGAGATGGATCGAACATACATTGAGAAGGCCGCCGAATGACATCGCACGCCAGGCCCTCGAATGGAACCCAATGGGAAGCGACGAATGGGTTGTCCTAGGGTGACATGGAGGAGATCGTGTGAGGAAAACATGAGAGATTATAGGCAATAGTAGACCTACCTGAAGAGGACGGCAGAAAACAGAACAAAGTGGAGGTATGTTGTTAAGGGCCTATGTTCCACTTGGAACGTGAGGGAATAAAAATAATATGTTATTATTGTTTCCTTAAGTTCCTATAGGAACATATGGCTTCAGACTCACGTCTCCACTGCGTTCGGTTCTTTGCCAATGTTTTCACCTGTCTACACGTCTACCCACATCCTTCCATCGCCTCTTCTCATCACATACTCTTCCTCATCCACGTCGCCCTCACACTGACGACCAACTCACCGCTTCTCATTCCAGTTCTACTCGAGCGATGGCATGGCATGTAATGCCACTTGATAGATTGTTTTCTCAAAGTATGGCCAATCCAACTAACTCAAATTCTTCCTGCATATTTGTTACACGATTGGTTCATGCTGGATTGGTTCGCTCAATGCCAGAAATCCCTGTTTCTGATATTCTCTGCACGGCCATCTGATCTTGAGTTGTATTGAGCGAAGGCAGTTAGCCGTTAATGAGAGTCTGTAGTTTGTTCGAAGTGGCTTTCGTGACGTGGACGCAGCGCCAAGTCTCTGATCTGTATGGTAAGTAGGACTGACTTCACATTGGAGTAGAAAATCCAGACTTTATTTTTTCATTCTGAGTAGAGCTGTTGATCTCCACACTGACATGAGAGTAATGGAAGCTTGCCTTGCTTTCCGATCCTAACCTTGATATACTCACCAGTTCCTCCTGTGTTTGAAACGATGTAGGTAGGTAAAGGAGGTTGCTTCTTTCAGATTTCTCCCATATATGCTGACTGTTGTCTTTCGTTGTTGCTGTTGCTGCTAATGTCGGCCAAGAATTTTTATCACGTCTGTTTTCTCTATAGTCACCTGAAGGCCTGTCTTCTCTGGATGCTTCTTCTGCCAACTTGTTGCTTTTCACTTGCATATCTTCCGGTTTGTGGGAAACCAGACGTAAAATCGACGAAATCCAGATCCTCCAAGTTTTTGAATGGGTCCATTTTATGCCTGTCTCCTTGCTACCCGGTCTGCTATCTGTCGCATTGTTCAGTCTACCGCAATCAGGAAAGTCCTTGGAGGCAACAGCCATCCTTGTCTTACTCCTGTCTTCACTTCGAAGAATTCCATGAGTTTCCCGTTGTGGATTACTTGACATGCAGCATCATTGTACAGTTGCTGGATGAGGTGTATAATTGTTGTTGACACTCTGTAGTGACAAAGTAGTTCCCAAATCACCTCTCGATCGACGCTGTCGAAAGCCTTTTAAAAGTCAATGATGTTGAGGTAGAGAGGTGAATGTTATTCCAAGCTCTGTTCAATGATAATCCGTAGTGTTGCGGTCTCATCGATGCATGACTTGTTTTTCCTGAATCCAGGCTGTTCCGGTGGAAGTTTTTTATCCAGGGCTTGTTTGATTCTCTCTCGAGGATGATGCGGCTTAGTATTTCATTTGGGATAGACAGGAGCATAATACCGCGCCAATTCTTGCCAACTCTTGGGCAGTTGGAATAGGTAATTATTCCTCCAATCAGCAAGTACCTTATCCTCTTTCCACGCTTTCTCCAGAAGTGGCGTCATCAAGTTCGCTTATATCTCGGGGTCCACTTTCAGTGCTTCTGTGGAGATTCCGTCTAGTCCTGCTGCTTTTCCAATTTTAAGCAGCTTGACTGCCTTCAGGATTTCTGCTTTCTTTGGAGGGTTGATATCCACTGGTAGTTCTGCTTCCGCATTTTGGGTCGCGGTCGATTAAGAAATCGTATTAAGTGTTCAGCCCAGTGTTTTCTTTGTTCCATCTCTTTGGTGATTGACTTTCCATTGTCACCCTTTACTGGCTTAATCTGTGTCAAACTTTTGCCCGAAAGGTGCCTAGTTGTTTGGTAGAGTGTGGCGAGGTCTCCTTTGCCTGCAACTTGTTCTGCTTCGTTTGCCGTGGTTTCATAATATTTTCTTTTGTCTTCCCTGGCACTGTTTTGTTCAGTGTATTGTAGCTTGCATTCAGCTCCTGTTTTTGTTGCTCGTCAGTGCACTGAATAATCCTTTGTTTCACTGTCCTTCTCTCCTCGATTAGTTTCCATGTGTCTGTAGTCAGCAACTGTTTATCCTGTCTCTTCTTTCTGCTCAGGAATTCCATTCAGGTTTGACTCCACACTGCTTTCAGGCTGTTCCAGTGCTTTTCAACGCTGAACTCTTCGCTAGTGTTGGTTTGTGTCTCCGCCTTTTTCCTTATGATTGTAGTGAAGATGTCCTTTGTAGCCTGGTCCTTCAGCTTTTGAGTGTTGAACTTGGCTTGTGGTCTGTCTGCAGGTCCTGTTTCCCTGAAAGCTTTCAATTTCATTTGGATTGTCCCTTGTAGGAGATAGCGGTCTGAGCCAACGTCTGCTCCTCTTCTTGCTTTTGTGTCCAGTAGGCTGCGCCTCCACTTCCTTGAGCACCATTAAGATGGAATCAGTTTTGGTTTTCATTCGCCCATCTGATGACACCGATGTAGCCTTGTGGGTATCTTTGTGCTTGTATACACTGCCACCAATCATCAGTTGACTGAAGTCACAGAGGTCAGCGAAGAGTTCTCCGTTTCCAATCACTTCTCCGAGAGCTTCTCTACCCATAATGATTTTATAGGTGCATAGCATTGTATAATCGTCACTCTCCTTCCTTTTGACTTGAATCTGGCGGTTATTACCCTGAGTGAGATCGCCTCACACTGCGTCAAGACCTTCGTTGCCCTTGATGATATGATAGCCACATCCTTCAAGTGACTATGGTTGTCTTCTGTGTGATGGAGTAGATCGTTGACTCTTCCGTTGACATTTTTGTGAGTCCGCTCCTATTCCACCTGCTTCAGCATATTCCCAATACTTGAATACCATATCTCTTCACCTCATTTGCAATCTAGTCAGCTTTGCTAGCCTCATACATAGTGTGGACATCCCATGTCCTCACACAGACTTTTCTTTTGTCACAAGGAGACTCATCGTACTGAAGTTTCTGTAGTAGTTTTGTTTACAGGGTGGAGTTGCTAGCCTGAGGAGGAATTTGTTACATATGTATTTAAGTTACAATGGCGCGACTTTTCAGGTTGATTCTTTTAGTATCTGGAAAATAAGAAATAAAGCAGTCAGAAAAACAACAGCAAAATGAAGGAATTAACAACCAGAAAAGCAGCGAAAACAACAACAACAAAAACCGTAGCAGTACTATCACTGTTAAATACAATTACCAAAAATGATATAAAAATCATGGACTCACTGACTTGAGTCAACCTGGGCATGTAAATCCAATAATATATACACTTAATGATATCAGTTAGTGTTAAACAGTCACAAAATGCCAAACAGTTAGTTAAAGGTATTAATAGTCAACAAGATCATATTCACAAATTCAGTGTTCGAACGTAAAAGAATTACGATAATTTAAACAACTTCCTGGCCAGAAACACAATACAAATGAGAGTTTTATGTAACTAAGGAAATGTAGTGCAACATCTTATTCAGTTTCTTAGTTTTTATCCATTGTTTGGTAAGACGCATCTTTGTACTTCATTTAACACCTAAAACAAATTATTTCACAAATTATTTATCTTCTCAAAATTCTGTCCTTGAAATAAAATTCTCGTTGTAAGGTATATCATTCGCACAAGTCATTTTTGTGAATTTTTTACAGACTTGTTTGATAGTGAATATTAATGAAGATCCAGCTAGTATGTCGGAAACCTTATCTTCGCTTCAGTTTGGCACTAATGCAAGACAAATTACTCTTGGTCCTGCTAAAGCTCATATAACAAATATTTATCATAATTAATTTCAATTTTAAAACACTAAGACTTTTTATTCCTTAAATTATTTAAATTTTATTTTCTTATAATTAATTAGTTAATTAATGTGAACGAAAAAAATCTCTTTTATGTCATGGTATTTTAATGGAGTCACTTAAATTAAGTTTACTTTCAATATTAAATAAAAAACTACTCCCATCGTGTTTTGTTTTACCGTAATAAATTTAAAAAAATCAGTTGCTACAGATAAGTGTTCTTAATACATGTCTGTGGAAAAGCACATTAATATTCTAGTTATTTCTTATATTTTAATCAACTTCATAAAATAGGGTACCTTTTTTAAAAAATTTCTGTATACTTATGAGATCATATGAGAAGTATACCGATTAGTGGATTTATGTTGCCTAAATGATTTCAGAGAATTTTAATGAAGAATAGTGATACGAAACTGTAAAATTTGTTGATATATTAGGCTTCCTCAAAACATATTTTGACAGCTTCACCGAATCCCTTCTGATCCACGGTGATTTCATTCACGTAGTGCAATTTTCTATTTTAAGTTAATGTACCACAGGATTTAGTTAAGAGATTTTTTATTGACCGTCTAAAAACGAAGTGTCATCAAACATGATATTTTTAAAAGCTTAGATTTTAAGCACTTCAAAATGAATGCTTTAAAATTGTAATTTAAACGCGGTACAACTAGGCGTGTTTCTCGTCAGATTTCCGAACATCATCCTGCTTGGTTAAGTAAAAGACAAACAAAATCCATTCACAGCGCTATTCTATCTCATTTTATGGATATAGAATACAACTTGCCTTTCAAAGTCATCTATCGCATACCAACTGATCGTAACTTTACCTTAAGAGTTCTCCTACTACATATTCGTGAGGCCGTTGGGATCCACACTATGAAACCTTACATATATATCCAAAGGAAACTTTTTCAGATACTGTCCTCATGTTGGTAATCAAGATTTTAATGATCCTCAATTTATTGTGGGAATTCCCTTAATTTTATTTGTTGTTGTATTTGCTATTACCTTTTTACAATACAATAATTTATGCATTGCAAGCTTGACTGATAGAATTCAGTCTGCAGTGAAGATAGGACTAGACACATTACACTGGTTACTGAATAGTGTGCAATCAAAAATAAATTATGCATCTTTAGTGAATTGTAATTCCATTGAAATTGCTTAAAAAATCGTTAGTATTTAAAAACACCAATATTGTTAATGACGACTATTCTAAAATATTCTATTCTTTAATTGTAGAGCCAGAAGAGGAAATTATCGAAAAGGATATTCTTTGCACAGTTTTTGTTTTTTCTAAACTAAGTTTGTTATCTCAGTTGTAGAGTTTAGAGTTCAGTGTATTACAAACAAAGTAAAACTCCTTTACATAATTTAAAGTTGAATAAGGCATTTAGGAGACAAATCTCGCGAGATGATATCATTTTGTTATCACTTTATCACTTGTCACAGTAAAGAAAAACCACATCTCAAAAAGACAGCTTCTGTACCGAAGAAAGCTATCTTTATCAACCTACCATTCAAGGGTGACCAGATTATGCAGTTGACTACTAGCTCAAAGACTTCGGTCAGTCATCAAACGCACATTCTACGCCGCATCTCTTTTTCTCACTTGCCGAACATTTTAGATCCTGTACCTACGATTAAAGAATGAAATTCTGTGGACTCTACTTCAAACTGTATCTACAAGTTCACCTGCAGCTGCGGTGACACCTATATAGGTGGAACCAACAAAATGTTCCAATTTCGTAGAAAAGAACATGCTTCAAAATGGCTACTAAATCATATAAAAAATACCAACGCGATTAATCTGAATAGAAATCCAGCATCATCCATTGCAAAACACTTATTAATGTCAGGTCACAAAATCAATATTAATGAATGCTTCACAATTATTTGACAAAACTCTAACTTAAGGTTACTGAAGGTGATAGAAGTGATTTGGATTAATCACATACAGCCCAAAATGTGTGTCAAAAAAAAACAGACTTCAATCTTCACCTACCATGGACTACATGACCTATCTAAACATGATTGGTTATTAGTATGTACTTTTGTTTTTTATTTAGCTGAGTAATTGTCATGGAATTTATTTTATTATTGTTAACCATGTTATTTGTAAAGCGATTGTAAAGGAACTACGAAATGATATCCATTCGCGAAATTTGTCTTCTTAATGCCTTATTCAAATTTATCAAAGGGACTAATTGTTTTAATTATTCAAAGTGTCAGGTACTAAATGTTTATTTTCAGAGAAAAATCTGAGACTAACACATTAAAACGTATTATTTTCGAGCAAATCATATTTCTGTCACGTGTTATCTTTGGCAAAAAATCAGCTGGAATTATTCAATTTCTCCCTGCAAACTAATGCTTATATGCTTGAAAGTTATTGTTACTGCCTATCAACGGAAACGAAAGTCAGAAAATATCGGTTAAAGGAGCAGTGAAATATAGGGGAGCGAAAAATACAAACAGTAGGATCCCTGCAGTAATTCTAAGATAGATTAGCATTTAATGGACAAAAATTAAATATGTATAATTTTCAAAATCTTTGTGAATTTATGGCATTTTTAATAAATAGGACATTAAGAAGGCACATATTTGGAGTCACTTTCATTCCATAGTTTCCATACGTTCGCTTTAAAACCGCTATGGTTGACAATAGTAAAATATTTGACAGTTAATCAGTCAAATAAAATAATAGTGCATATTATTAACACATTCCAGTAGGTCAACTGATCCATGGTAGACAAATTCTGAAGTCTATTACTTTTTGTACAATAGTTAAGGTGAATGTAATTAACCCAAAGCGCTTCCATCATCTTTAATAACGTAGAATAAAAGAAATGTGAAATAACTGGGAAACAGCTATTAATTTTAATTTTGTGATTAGAATTTTAAAGGCTAATTCCTAAAATAAAATCTGCATAGAATAGACTTTTTGAGGTATTACATGCACAATAAATAATTTCTTATTCATCTGAACGTAGGTAAGGTATTCATCTAATTACTATTATTATTTATTATTGTATCCTTTAGTTCCTAGAGGAACATAGGGCTTCAGCTGCGCATCTCCATTGCTTTCTGCTTTCTGCCAACTTTTTCACCCCGATCCAAGTCTGCCCACACGATTTCATCTCCTCCTCACATGACCTCCTCCAAGTTACCCTCACACTGACGACCAACTCGCCGCTTCCCTTTCGGGTTCCACTCGAGCAATGGCTTGTCTAGTGATGTCACTTGATGGTTTCCTCAGAGTATGGCCAGCCAATCCATCTTTATTTCTTCTTACCTATTTGTTTCGCAATCGGTTCCTGGTTGATTCGTTCATCGCCAGAGATCCCTGTTGCTGATATTTTCTGGCCGACCATCTGATCTTGAATATTGAGCGAAGACAACTGTTGATGAAGGTCTGTGGTTTGTTTAAGGTGCTCTTTATGACGCGCAGGCGAGACTCTGTTCCGTATAGTAGCACTGACTTCACATTGGAGTTGAAAATCCGGATCTTATTTTTGATGCTGAGTGATGCTGAACTCCACACAGATTTGAGAGGAATGAAAGCTTGTCTTGCTTTTCCGATTCTGGCTTTGATATCCTCGTCAGTTCCGCCTGTAGTTGAAACGATGCTTCCCAGGTAGGTGAAGGAGGTTTTTTCTTTCAGGTTTCTCCCATTTATGCTGATTGTTGTCTGTTGTTGTTGTTGCTGTTGATGTTGGCCAGGAATCTTCATCACCTCTGTTTTCTCTATGTTCACTTGAAGTCCTATCTTTGATGCTTCTTCTATCGCCAACTTGTTGCTTTTCATTTGCATATCTTCCAGTTTGTAGGAAATCAGACATATATCATCGGCGAAATCCAGATCCTCCAAGTTCTTTTGTGTCAGTCCATTTTATGCCTGTTTCCTCGTTGGCCGTTGTCTGTCGCATTATCCAATCAATTGCAATCAGGAAGATCATTGGTGATAGTAGACAGCCTTGCCTCACTCCCGTCCTCACTTCGAAGGCTTCCGTAAGTTTCCCGTTGTGGATTACTTGGCATGCAGCATTGTCGTATAACTGTTGGATGAGATGTATAATTGTCGATGGGACCCCGTAGTAGCGAAGTAGTTTCCAAATGACCTCTCGATCGACGCTGTCGAAGGCCTTTTCAAAGTCGATGAAGTTGAGATAGAGAGGTGACTGCCATTCCAAGCTTTGTTCAATGATGATCCGTAGAGTGGCGATTTGATCAATACATGATTTGTTTCTCCTGAATCCAGCCTGTTCCGGACGAAGTTTTTCATCTAGGGCTTGTTTGATTCTCTCCAGGATGATGCGACTTAGTATCTTGCTTGGAATGGACAGAAGCATAATTCCACGCCAGTTTTTACATTGACTTAAGTCTCCTTTCTTTGGAAGTTTGAATAAGTATCCTTTCTTCCAATCCTCGGGTACTTTGCCCTCTTTCCACACCTTCTCCAGTAGTGGTGTCATCAAGTCCGCTGTTGTCTCTGGGTCTATTTTCAAAGCTTCTGCTGGGATTCCATCTGGTCCTGGTGTTTTCCCAGCTTTTAGCATCTTGATTGCATTCAGGACTTCTGATTTCGTCGGGGGGTCAGTGTTCACTGGTAGTTCTGCTTCCGTTGTTGGTATTGTTGGGCGTGTTGTAGGTGGCGGACGATTTAGAAGTCTTTTGAAGTGTTCAACCCAGTGCTTTCTCTGTTCCACCTCTTTGGTGATTGACTTTCCATTGTCGTCCTTTATTGGCTTAATCTGTGTCGAACGTTTGCCCGAAAGGTGCCTAGTTGTTTGGTAGAGTGTGGCGAGGTCTCCTTTGCCTGCAGCTTGTTCTGCTTCGTTTGCCATGGTTTCATAATATTTTCTTTTGTCTTCCCTGGCACTCTTTTGTTCAGTGTATTGTAGCTTGCATTCAGCTCCTGTTTTTGTTGCTCGTCAGTGCACTGGATAATCTTTTGCTTCACTGTCCTTCTCTCTTCTATTAGTTTCCAAGTGTCCGTAGTGAGCCACTGTTTGTCCTGTCTCTTTTTTCTGCCTAGAATTTCTATGCAGGTTTGGCTCCACACCGTTTTCAAGTTGTTCCAGTGCTTTTCAACGCTGACCTCTTCGCTAGTGTTGATTTGTGTCTCCGCTTTGTCCTTTATGCTTGCAATGAAGATGTCCTTTGTAGCCTGGTCCTTCAGCTTTTGAGTGTTGAACTTGGCTTGTGGTCTATCTGCAGCTCCTGATTCCCTGAAAGCTTTTAATTTGATTTGGATTGTCCCTTGTACGAGATAGTGGTCTGAGCCAACGTCTGCTCCTCTTCTTGCTTTTGTGTCCAGTAGGCTGCGCCTCCACTTCCTTGAGATTGAGATGAAGTCAGTTTTGGTTTTGGTTTGCCCGTCTGGTGACACCCATGTAGCCTTGTGGATATCTTTGTGCTTGTATACACTGCCACCAATCACCAGTTCGTTGAAGGCGCAGAAGTCGGCGAAGAGTTCTCCGTTTTCATTCATTTCTCCTAGAGCTTCTCTACCCATGATGAGTTCCCTTCCTGTATTGTCTGGTCCCAGTTTGGCGTTCATGTCTCCCATTAGTATTTTCATGTCGCCAGCTGGAGTATTGTCCATTGTTGCCTGTAGTTGCCTGTAGAATTCTTCTTTCTTTTCGAGGTCTGCGTTGTTTGTGGGTGCATAACATTGTATGATTGACACTTTCCTTCCTTTGGAGTTGAATCTGGCGGTCATTATCCTGGACGAAATCGCCTCCCATTGTATCAGGGCTTTCGTTGCCGTTGGTGACATCATGATAGCCACGCCCTCGGTGTGCGTGTGGTTATCTTCTGGGTGACCGGAGTAGATCACTGACTCACCCGTTGACAATTTGGTGAGTCCACTCCCATTCCATCTGCTTTCACATATTCCCAGCACTTGTATTCCGTATCTTTTCATCTCGTTGGCGATCTGGGCAGCTTTCCAGTCTCGTACATAGTTCGGACGTTCCATGTTCCTACACAGACTTTTTCTTTTGGTGCAAAGAGGTTCATTTGCTGAAGTTTCTGTAGCAATTTTGTTTACAGGGTGGGGTTGCTAGCCTCACGCCTGAGAAAGGAATGATTACATTAAGATAAAGTTTAGAGAGAAGCGACTTTTTGGGTTGCTCCCCTCAAAATCAGAAAATAACGGACAAACAATGAGAACAACACCAGCAAAAGGGAAACAGTTCACAGAAAAAAGGGCAAAAAGCGACAACAAAGATACAATACAGCAACATGCAATATAGTTCAGCACAGTTAACTAAAATGATATCTCAACCATAAACTCACTGACTTGGAGCAACTTGAACATATAAATCCAACAATATATACAATTATAGATGTGTTTATGTTTAAAAATTCCACAAATCCAAATAGTTAGTTATATGTATTATCTGTCAATAAGATTATATCCTCGGATTTAGTGTTCGAAATGTAAATAATTGTAATAGTTTCCACAAACTCTTGGCATGAAATTTTACAGTAACGAGAAATTTTATAAAATTAGGGAAATGTAGCGCAGTAGTCGAAAAGCGCACGCAGTGAAGGTAATTGTAACTTCTTCATGAAGAGATAGGCTTTGGTTTATCAACGTATTGATGGCTAGCTTATAGTTTCTA